TGGCCCTTCCAGCCCTTATACGGCCATCCCTCTGGGAGAGAAGAAAAAGGAGGGAGCACGTAGCGTCCAGCGCAGTCTCCCTGGTGTGGACAAGATAGGTTGCACAGCCCGAACACCTTGCAGTAGCACTCTTCGGCGGTGGGACAGTACACGGGGCCCTTTCCGAAAATCATGTGCCATGAATACTCCATGATGCGCCCACTAAGGTCATCCTGCAGCGGCGTCTCAGCCAACCACTTCCTAAACCGTACATAATCGCTCTTCGGCCGCTCAAGAACCTTTGATCGCGTGACGCCGAATTGCGCACAACACGAAACCCCGACTTCCTCCGGCACTTCGACACCAGGGAAAAGCTCCATGAAACCAGTCTTGAAGTACTCGCCTGCATGAACGTCGTCACGATGAGTATCAGTAAGCGGGTGGATCTCGACCGGACACCCGAGAACCCAGGCGCAGCGGAGATTGACATATCCTTGCTTTAGGAGGTAGGGGAGCTGGAAATTGCGGAGCATGGGGACACCGTCGTAGTAGGGGTCGTCATTATGCCACTGAAATCTCTGAGAGTGGATGAATAGCATCGCGTCGGGGAGGTTTTCGTAGTTATCAATGATATACCTGTGGGAAAAGTTAGCCCTTCGTACGCTCACAGCAACCTGTGCAAGGGTTTATCGTACGTCAAGTACACCATAGACTCCCTTCCCTTGTTCAGGTCCACTGTCAACTTCGCCTGCTTATCATCCGCCACGTAGATACTCTTATGCCATTCAGGAAAGTTATCATATAGCCAGGAGACGTCGTCCTTCTTCATACTGGCAACGACCAGGTCCTTCTCGAGAGTCTGCGACTTTGGCACCGGCGACGGGGAAGCCTGCCCCGAATGCGAATTTCGCTGTGAACCTTCATGGGATATTGAATTATGGGATACAAATTTGCGGTGTTCCGACTGCTTCGCGAAGAACAGAAAGTACAAAGCGCCTATGATGAAAATCGTCACCAGAATGGCCTTTTCGCGATTGCGACGGCGTGGACCTTGGACTCCGCCGCAGAATAGCATTGTGCTGACGATGGGGGGGTAACAACTCGGATGGGTTCGTGCAGAAAATCGAAAAGTTCAGTCGTATTTACAGGGTCAATTGAATCTAGTTCAGGTCGATAGAGCAGTGGTCATCATTGCGCTGCTGGAATTTGATCGGCAGGAGAGCGGAGGATGCGATGGGCAATATGGTGGATGCCGCCGCGGGTCTCGACCGTCCGTGGTATTCCCTGCCCCCTGAATTTGGCTTTGTTTATAACTTGGTGCGTGATTAAACCATAGATCATATAGTGTAAAATAGTAAGGGACTGCGACGGGTTGTACAGGGGGGAGAGAGGCTGTCAGGCCAGAAGTTGCGACAAGTGGCAGAACATTTGATTTCGTTTGCTAACTAAAAGCTGACCCCCCAGCCACAGTCCGCAAGTGGAGCCTGAGAACCCTTGCCCAATATAACACTACGTAATAAGAACCCATTCGCCTTCACATAAACTATGCATGCACAAGTTTTTGGATTTAGATCCCAGAACTCAATATGAAACTCTAGATCTTGGAAATTTAGGAAATCTGCTCCGCTGAATTCAATTATTGTACAAACACTAGCTCCCAACACCTGGCGCTGATCTAGATCAACCAAACTGGTTTCTTTGAGCTGTTGGATTCTAGGCGCGTTGTCAAGCACATTGTTGACGGATCAGCCCTTGCATTGGCCCTGGCTTATGTTTCTTTTTCAATTGTTGTTATTGCCCCTTCTGTTTTCTTTGAATGCGCATATAGAGTGACTGGACATTATCAGAAATGTAGGACTGCGTTACATAGGTCAACAGACTAACAAAAGGAAAGGAAGGATTGTCAGACTCTATCAGCGTTTTATAGGCCTAAAAGCCCGTCACGATTCTTCTCTTGAGTAGACACTATCGTCATCTGAGAGCTTAGGATCTCTTCCGGGGTCTGGTAAAAGCCCTTCTTTCCTTCCTGTGAACTGTCATATAGAAATGAGCAGATGGAAGCCCTCTAGCACAAGAGCTTCTCAAGGCGCAATTGCTGGATTCCCTATAGTTCCATTCTAGACGTAGTATGTGAACTCCATTGCCTTGAGCGAGGAACAATTTTCGTTCTTTGGCTGTCCTAACCCTAATTGTGGACCTGTCTTGCTTTCAGTATTTGTAAGGTCTTTCTTGCCTTGGTTGTTATGCATATCGGGTCATATATATATAAATCTATTCGGCGTCCTCAAGTATATTGTTCAATGAGCAAGCGGATATGCCACAAATAAAAAGATAGCCCACAAGTGTATCAATACAATTTTGGGAAACATGAATTAGGGCATATCACGATGCTACACTAGCCATAGTGAATCCACTACTCGATACCACATCCTCATTTTCCACTGTGAAGGTCATCGCCCCGGTATAGAAGGCCTGTCCGCCAACTTTTGCAACCACAGAGCGAATACTCCTGCCCTGGGTATCAGTGATGGAATCCTCGCCGGCGATTTCAGCGGTAAACGCTCCGGCTCCAAATTTATTTGACACCAATGAGTTATACGCCCAGCGCTGTCCAGGCTTCCTCAAGCCCTTCTCATACGCCAACGCCACGCGGGCTGCGACGCAAGATCCTGTAGGCGAGCGATCGATTTGGCTATCAGCAAAGTAGCAAAGCCCAGTCTCCGTACCATCCACACCCCCAGGGTTGGCACCTATTTTCGAGTCCACGATCATTATAGAATAGAGGAACGAAAGACGAGGGTCCTCCGGGTGTTGGATTGCGGAAATAATTTCCGGATGGGTTCTGAGATAGGGCAATAACTTCTGGCTACACCGCGTAGTAGCATCGAGGTCCACATCTTTCAGGGCTTTGAAGCCGAGCTCTTCGATATCGATGAGGGCGTAGTATGCTCCTCCGTAGCTGAGATCCAAAACGATCGAGTCCCTTGCTCCAAGTTCAGGCCAGCGAACTTCCGGGGGGATAGAAATCTTAAGCTGAACAGCTGGTGCAAAAGAAGGAACGGACAGGAACGATACCGATCGCGAAGGGTCGGATTTCTTTCCATCTGGCGTAGTAGGTACAGTAACCCTGATCAACCCGCACGGTGCGTGGAGGTTAACCTTAATACTCTGGCTATCTGCATCAAATTTCAAGGTCTCTCGTCTCGGAAAGACATTCAGGTCATGGGTATCGACCAGAAACCGGCCCAGTGCCATAGTGGCATGTCCGCACATAGTGGAGTACCCCTCATTATGCGTGAACAGAACCCCGATATCAGCTTCCCCGGATAGCACTAGCTCCGTCTCGGGGATGATGATAGCACCGTACATACCATCGTGTCCACGGGGTTCTGACATCAAGCGTTTGCGAATGTCATCGTATTGATCCTTCGCTTGATCGCGTTTGGAAAGAAGCGAGCCTTCGAGATTGGGGAAGCCTGAGTAGATGATGCGGGTTGGCTCGCCGGTGGTGTGCATGTCAATGCAATGGACTTGGCGGCCATTGGCTTGCAGTGAGCTGAGTACGTCCATTTTATTGCGTATATGGGAGTTGGCAATTTGTTTGAATAAGAGCTGATATATGCGTTTTTGAAAGTAGTGAATTGTGGTTTATATACTTCACCGGAGGAGACTTCCGAGCGGATTGATGTTCCGAATGTGGGGAAATCTCTAGATGTATTTACGCCCTTCAGAACATCTTCAAGAAACTCAGAGAACCTGAGCTCTGCTTTTAAACACGAAGAATTCAGCATATATTATAATCCATATTTATACTAGCTTTTCTCCCTGGAACTTGCTGAAATACTCAACACAACGTTGGTCATCAGCGCAAAATATATAGTCTTAACAGATAAACTAAGATCCTGAAGACTGAAGGCAGTATGCTCTAATACACCTAGATAGCTATGGCACAGATCTCCCTGGTTTCAGTTTAGCATGGAAGCAAACAAGTTATAGGCTCATCTAAGTCATCTCTATATAGGATCGTGCAAAAAATGGGAGTATTTGGTGAGAGCCTTCAACTAAGCTTTTATAAATATGTTGAATCCTTTCAAAGACGTGTGAGATAAATCATAAGATAACAATCAGTTATGCAAACCTAATGAATAATGAGCCTTTGCTAATGATGGCCATGAGAATATATTGCCAAATAACATGCAGACTGCTGTATATTTCAACAGCAGTCTTCTGAACATAACAAAAATAGACACTGATATTGCCAAATTTTATATAGAACATGATTTGTTCTAAAGATGCTCAGTTGCCACCGGGAAATGGCTGTCGCTAATCAATAGCTCACACTGCAAAACAGTCTTTTGGAAGGCTATTCCTTCATATCTGGAAACATATCACACTGCCTGAACTGAGGTGATGTACAAGCCTAAAAGTATACTAACCCTGATCAGTGATGGTCTATATAGAGGGCCCTCTTCGGGATGCATTATTGTGGGGAGCTTCACCGCCTGCAACCCGAGAGAATCACCTCACCGCCCTGCCATTAATCATCATCCAATGGTTCTTTGTGTTGAACAGCATTGTTGAAATGTCGTGATTGTTGTCATTCTTTCTCCCAACCTCTTTCTTACTGCTTCTCCTCGGCATACCCTATTCTCATTGTAAAGTTTCTTTGTGGGGGCCACTTCCTTATCCCACTGACGTGGACCCGCATTGACCCGGTGGCCACATTCATAAGTTCGCCGCCGGCAGCTCGCTCGAGCGGCTTCTTAAGATACTCCCATTCTCGCATGCCTCCAAGGTCCCCGTCCTCTGCAGCCCTCCGTCTGTGGAACGCTAGGAGTCCCTCACCTTCTACTCCAGTTTATCGCTCTATTGCACATTCCGGCGCCCTTGCGGCGATCGTCTCTCCTTCATCGATTTCGCCACGGTTCTTCTCACATCGCTCTCCCTGGTCATCCCGTGTGTGCACTCACCATTCCCATCTCTTGTCGATTCGTGCTCCATTCTCTACCAGAACCGCAGCCATGGCCTCGATAAAACGCATTACGGAGCACTTGGACAAGCCGGAGTTAGATGACCGCTCGTACCGCGTCATTCGTCTCCCAAACAAGCTGGAGGCCCTTCTTGTTCATGACCCTGATACGGACAAGGCAAGCGCAGCCGTCAATGTGAATGTTGGCAATTTTTCAGACGCAGATGATATGCCAGGCATGGCTCATGCTGTTGAGCATTTACTTTTCATGGGAACAGAAAAGGTAGGATAGATCGTGCTGGCGTGCTCACCTCGCCCTCTTCTTGAGCGTATGACCGGTAGCTAACCCGTGCCATGAACACAGTATCCTAAAGAAAACGCATACAACCAATACCTAGCATCCCATTCTGGATCGTCTAACGCTTACACTGCTGCCACGGAGACGAACTACTTTTTTGAAGTGTCTGCCACTTCGGAGTCGAGTGATGGGTCGTCGAGTGGCAACAGTACCCCGACAAACGGGACAAACACTACCGGACAGACAGACGGCTCTGAATCCCCGAATAGTAGTAAACCATCCCCTTTATATGGCGCTCTCGATCGTTTTGCGCAATTTTTCGTGTCGCCTCTTTTCTTAGAGTCAACGCTGGACCGCGAGCTGAGGGCAGTAGATTCTGAAAACAAGAAGAACCTACAAAGCGACCTGTGGCGTTTAATGCAGCTAAACAAATCTCTCTCGAATCCAGCGCATCCTTATCACCATTTCTCCACCGGAAATTTGCAGACGTTGAAAGAAGAGCCGCAAAAACGCGGGCTGAACGTTCGCGATGAGTTCATCAAATTCTATGAGAAGCATTACTCATCTAATCGGATGAAGCTGGTGGTTCTGGGCCGTGAAACATTGGATGAAATGGAGCAATGGGTTGGAGATCTCTTTGCTGGCGTAAAGAATAAAGATCTTCCACAAAACCGCTGGGACGATGTTCAGCCTTGGCTAGCCGACGATATGTGTAAACAGGTTTTTGCCAAGCCTGTAATGGATACTCGTTCGCTTGACATCTACTTCCCTTTCCTAGACGAGGAGCATATGTATGAGTCCCAACCAAGCCGGTATATCAGTCACTTGATTGGTCATGAGGGTCCCGGCAGTATTCTGGCTTATGTGAAGGCAAAGGGTTGGGCCAACGGCCTATCTGCTGGTGTTATGCCCATTTGCCCTGGATCTGCATTTTTCACTGTCTCGATACGGTTGACAAAGGAGGGTTTACGGCAATACCGTGAAGTCGCAAAGGCGGTGTTTGAATACATTGCGCTGATCAAGGAACGGGAGCCCGAGCAGTGGATCTTCGACGAAATGAAGAATCTAGCCGAGGTTGAATTCCGGTTCAAACAGAAGACACCGGCCAGCCGATTTACTAGTCGCCTGAGTAGCGTCATGCAGAAGCCATTGCCCCGGGACTGGTTGCTCAGCGGCTCGCTCCTGAGGAGCTACAACCCGGAGTTGATCAAGAAGGCACTGTCGTACTTGCGCGCCGATAACTTCAGAATGGTTGTCGTTGCTCAAGACTACCCGGGAGACTGGGACCTTAAGGAGAAATGGTACGGCACCGAATACAAGGTCGAGGACGTCCCGAAAGACTTCTTGGCTGAGATTCAGAAAGCCTTGAATAGCACCCCGGAAACCAGGCTCTCTGAACTGCACATGCCCCATAAAAACGAGTTCGTCCCCACCCGACTCTCTGTGGAGAAGAAGGAGGTCTCGGAGCCAGCAAAGACACCAAAGCTGATTCGCCATGATGATCATGTACGACTCTGGTTTAAGAAGGACGATCGGTTTTGGGTGCCAAAAGCCACTCTCCATGTCACTCTCCGGAATCCACTGGTGTGGGCTACTCCCGCGAACCTTGTAAAGTCAAAGTTCTATTGTGAGCTTGTCAGAGACGCTTTGGTGGAATATTCCTACGATGCTGAGCTTGCCGGACTGGACTATAACCTTTCTGCCAGTATCTTTGGGCTTGATGTGTCGGTTGGTGGATATAATGACAAAATGGCAGTTCTTCTGGAGAAGGTACTCACTAGCATGCGTGATCTAGTTGTCAGTCCAGACCGGTTCCACGTCATTAAGGAACGCTTGTCACGAGGATATAAGAACGCGGAGTATCAGCAGCCATTCTATCAAGTTGGCGACTACACCCGGTATCTGACTGCCGAGAAAGCATGGCTCAACGAGCAATACGCTGCTGAACTAGAACACATCGAGCCCGAGGATATCTCGTGTTTCTTCCCCCAGTTGCTCCGCCAAAATCATATCGAGGTGTTGGCGCACGGCAACGTGTACAAAGAGGATGCACTTCGAATGACGGATTCTGTGGAGAGCATTCTTAAGAGCCGTCCCTTGCCCCAGTCTCAATGGCATGTGAGGCGCAACGTGATCATCCCTCCCGGGTCCGACTTTGTCTATGAGCGGGAACTGAAGGATCCCGCAAACGTCAACCATTGCATAGAATACTATCTGTTTGTCGGAAATATGACAGACGACGCTCTCCGAGCGAAGCTTTTGCTATTCGCCCAAATGACTGACGAGCCTGCGTTCGACCAACTCCGAAGCAAGGAGCAACTGGGGTACGTCGTTTGGAGTGGTGCACGTTATTCGGCGACGACTATCGGGTATCGAGTCATTATCCAGAGTGAGCGCACTGCCAAGTATCTGGAATCCAGAATTAATGCATTCCTGAGCAACTTTGGCAAGGTCTTAGAGGAGATGTCCGATGAAGAATTTGAGGGCCACAAGCGGAGTGTCGTCAACAAGCGCTTAGAGAAACTTAAGAATCTGGGCTCTGAGACCACTCGGTTCTGGACCCATGTTGGTTCTGAATATTTCGACTTCCTGCAGAACGAGTCTGACGCTGCTAACGTCCGGTCCTTGAGCAAATCTGACCTGAGCAAATTCTATCAACAGTACATTGATCCCGAGTCAACCACACGGGGTAAGCTTTCAGTGCACCTAAAGGCTCAGGCTGGCGCCGATACAACAGAGCCAAACGAGCAGACCTCTGCGTTATCGTCGCTACTTGCGAAGCAGTTGGAGACTGCCGGGTTTGCTGTGGATAACGATCGCCTGAAGATCGTGATCGAGAAACTCGATATTTCCGCTGGGAACAAGGGTCAGATTTTGGCTACTTTCAAGACATTCCTTGCCTCTGAGGCGAATCTGTCCGAGGAGCAAATCAAGCCGGTCCTTGAACAGGCGGAACAGAACATAGGCTTGCACTTAAAGCAAGTCGGTCTTGAGTCCGACAAAGAAGTATCCGTGACGAATGGCGTTGGAAAACTTGGAGAAAACCAGGACCCGACCTATATCACCAATGTTTCCGAGTTCAAGGCACGCCTTGCTGTCAGCGCTGGCCCGAGCCCGGTGACGGACTTGAGCGAATATGAGGACTTTGATGCTAAGCTCTAAGAGTAGAATCTAAGAGCTGTACACTATTTCTTTTTATCTCATAGACATAGTCAATCTGTATAGATTCAGCATTGAACATGTGGGTGTTGGGGTGGGTGATGGGTAAGGCATCGGTTGGGGTTGGGATCTCAGTATGTACGTAGTAGATCCACTTAGAAACCAAGCGGTTCAGATATTGATTTAACGTCATTCAATGCTCGCTGAATAATCTAAACCAATCAGAATCCGATGCATGGTGGAAAGAAGTATAGATATTTTGTTTTCGCATAGATTATTAGAAACTGGAAGCATATGGACTGATGTGCTCTAGTTGTGTCGAACATCGGTGTAAAGTAAATGGCGCTCCCCTCGGGGCGGTGGAATGTTTTCGCGGGGCGAGTCCGATGGCCATAACAAAGCTAACTACGGTCTACTCCATCCGCTTCTCCATCAGCGCTCCGGTAGACCTCCGCCGCATTGAAGTTGCGACTGAACACAGCCGCGTCAAAATTCACTCAATTTTACAGTTATTTGAAATTTAGCTCGCACGAATATTGCGACTTCCATATCTAAAAACAGATTGTCGCCAATATGTCAACTACCACAGCGACGGCGATGCAAAGCTCTCGCCCGTATGTCTCTGCTTCGTTTATCGAACCTACCTACGACTTCTGTCCTCACTGGCAGTTACTGATATTTCATTCCTTGCAGGCCTATCATTCCTAAAGATTTCTCCGCTCAGCAACCTCAAACGATCCGTTTATACCCACTCTCCAATTACACATTCGGCACCAAAGAAACGCAACCGGAGGAGGACCCCTCGGTCCTGGCCCGTCTAAAGCGCCTTGAGGAGCATTACGAGCAGCATGGCATGAGACGGACTTGCGAAGGTGTTCTTGTTTGCCACGAACATAACCATCCTCACGTGTTGATGCTACAAATCGCCAATGCCTTTTTCAAGCTGTACGTGTTGCTCTAGCTACAACCAACTACCGTGGCCTGCAGTGCGACATACCACAGAGAACCGTAGCTGACCATCAACCTAGTCCCGGTGACTATCTTCACTTCGAAGACGATGAGGTGGAGGGTTTCAAGAAGCGACTAAATGAGCGGCTGGCGCCTGTCGGGTCACAGTTCTCAGGCGAAGGCGTCAACGAAGACTGGGAAATCGGCGACACACTTGCGCAATGGTGGCGGCCGAATTTTGAGACTTTCATGTACCCCTTCCTGCCCGGTCATGTTACCCGGCCAAAGGAGTGCAAAAAGTTGTACTTCATTCAGCTACCTAAGAAGAGTGAGTCTCGAGCCTCGACTCTTGCACCTGTTTCATATGGACCTGTCTGACTTTAGTTCTTTCCAGAGGTCCTCTCAGTACCGAAGAACATGAAGCTTCTTGCTGTGCCGCTGTTCGAACTGTACGACAACACCGCCCGTTATGGTCCACAACTGTCCGCTATCCCTCACCTACTGTCCCGGTATAACTTTGAATTTGTGGATGAGAACGACAACGTCGTCGCGGCGACCCCGGGTACACCGCTTCCTGAAGGCCAGATCCCTAAGACCAAGGTCCTCGCAGGAGACAATGAAGGGCAGGACGAAGGAATGGCCGACTACACCGGAGATCCAACCGAGAATGGAGGACAGTGAGGACTGGCCCGGTTTGAGGGTGAGTACATATATGCGTTGCTCAACAATTGGACGTTAGTCTGTTTGCGTCCCGTTGATTGCCGTTTCTTCGAAGACATGATGAGTTTTATTATTGGCCGGCGTTTTGAGGAGCGGGATGTTCTCTGTTGTATTTTCCCGATAATGATCCATCCTGGCTTAATTACTAAACAATTTAGAAGAAAAAAGGACTAATCGGTAGATTCGTAGTGTGTATTCTATGTTTCCTTACTTTTAGTACCGAATCTCTATTTTTTTTTCTCTCAATATTTTGCATTGGAAAACACTAACCGCTGAGCCGGCGTCAGTTCTACTGAATACCTTCACACTTTCCACGAAGCAACAGCTCTCTTCTCATGACAGGTTGTAAGGGACAGACCCACCAAAATTTTAAGCTTCTACCAGGTAATTAATTGGGCTGAAAGAAGAGCTGGAAGATTGATCCCTGCCATGCCCAAGGTACGCCATTAAGCTTAGCTAGGGCTTTAGTGGGTATGGGCCGTTGACAGAATACTAGTGGGGCGACTGTTGTTGTTTCTCACCAGGAACGCTGTCGGTGTCTAATAGGACAGGGAAAGGATCACAGGTTTGATCAATAACAGCTTATCAATTCTAGTTAAAAAAAGTATTCAGCTGAGTCCTATTCCTGCTTCAGCTCCAGCTGGAGCTAGATCAGGGTGCTGACCCATGTAACCTGGCATTGGAGATATAACAGTATAGATAACATGCTCATTCTAGAATACGGTATATAGTTAGGGTTCCTCTATAACCCCCCTTCTACCCTTGATAGCATTTTCCCCCCAGCTGATGAACTCTCCCAAGTCTCGGCATGGAGTACTGGAGGTTCCAAATACTAGATAATCTTAACTTCAGAATATCTACGGTTGAGTAAGAGGACAACAAGAGGTCAAACGTATATACAGCAACCACAGGAAAGGAAGAGGAATAGGAGAGGGAGGAGTTAAAGCATAGTAATCGAAAACACTAGACCAATGTTGACCTTAATGGGGGACATCTTCTCCTCCCTGCATTGTCCCATGAACCTTACTACCCGAAACGAAATTAGTACGTCTATCATCATGGCAGCTCAGGAAGAAGCATTGACCAAGGGTGAGTCCGGCTGTCTGGTTCGCACGATTAAGTCCCGTTCGGTTCATAGCGTACACAGCATGCGAAGCCCTGTCTAGCTGATCACAAAGGAGAGCGTTATTTCTAGGGACCCCATAAATCCAGGAAGATGTACGGCGTTCAATCACTGCTTGGTAGTCTGAATTTTCCACCTGATCATTGTTCAACTCAATGGATGGCTTACGGCATGGATGCATAGATAGATTGGATGCAGGGTACTGGCCACCCCCAGCACTACTTCATGTACCCTATCTAGTGATTATTTTGTATCATCTGATAATTTAGGCCAATGTCGCCCAAATAATGAGCGGTCCAAGGTGGACACTTAACCTTTTACGCGATAGCGGTATTCTACAGTTGACAGAAACATGCTTCTTAACTCAGGCCCAGCCTCGAGGAAGACTTCGCCTATATGTCCACAGACAGTCGACCTAGGAGGGTTTATCTTACACGTCAGACCATGGACGCTTTGCACCACACAGGGGAGAGCGTATTTAGCAATTTTCAAAAGAGCTTGTTGAGTGCCCCCCGGTGCTGAACGCCTGAATGACAGTCGCAAAGGCAACTTCATCTGTAGTGAGGTCCGACTTAGCATTATTATCCTTAACGAGCTCTAGACTGGTTAATAAGCCTGTGGAGGGAATTCTGAGTGACAGGGGCAAGATGCACGCTGAATAGAGACTTGTCGGATTTTGTGTTCGCTAAAATAAAATGGTGTGCATAGAATACGAAGCATCAGATAACGAGGGCACACCTGCAGAAAGCACCTGCAGCTATACGGAAGGAGAAACGGGGACGACTAGTGATTCATCAGTATCCTTCCCAAATGTCCGTCCTTAATAGCGTCAGATGCGCCGGAGAAAGACAGCCCTATATTCGACCTCACCGGACCCTCTTCCAAAGTAGCACCACCTACTAGTAAACCAAAACTTGCTCACCCAACGTCCTGGGCTCGTTTAACTAATATAGAGGAAACGGAATCCTTCCGAAGGGGGAAATATCGGCGATATGACTATAGTTCATCAATGCTCCATCGCCAAGATCTCCCGGTGGTTCAAAAAATCTCCTGCGACAGAGATAGCTCAGAGATAAGCACTAAATACATCTCTGGAACGGAACCGAAAAGAAAGGATCATCCAAGACAAAACGAGCCAACGAGAGCCGTTCATTGGCCCCATCTGTGCCTGGGACCTGAAATTGCTGTTCGTTAACCGTTAGGGTTAAGGAATTGCGAAAGTCCCCACTAGCGAACCCATGGATAGAGATGGGAACTATGAACTTGGCGGCAGGGACACGGGTGACTTAGTTCCTCTGTCGTATACACTCTGCGCAGAATTCTAACATTGTAGCCCCCTTGCCCTGTGGTCTTGGTTTCTGATTCGTTCCTATTGCAGTGGTCTAAGCCTCTTCACACTGCCGATCTTCAATTCTGCATTGGAATTCTTTCTCCTATTGTTTGAGCTTTATTGCCTGATACTGGGATACGCTACGACGTGTTTGGGCGGATGTGATCTGTGTATCCCGCCGGAATACCGTTGGGGAGTTTGAACTCCTGGTGTGGGGGGTTCTGTAGTTGGGTTCGGCAAGTGCTGCCTGTCCGTGTCTAGACATATAAGGTTGTTCAAGGGTTCTAGGGATGGCTCTGGATCGGGTTGAAAAAGGGAGAAACTACAGATCTAAGTACCTCCGGCGTTGTGGCATTCCAAGTGGCTCCATTCTAGGTTCATAAGGCTTATCTTCTGTCCCTTTGACCTGTCCCTTCATTTCAATTGACTTTTTCTTTGTTTAATACGTATATTATTCTCTTTATATAATATTCGCGCAATGCGCCATCTCGGCAAAGTTTTGACGGCTTTCGCGGCCTGTGCAGGGCTGGGCGTTGCTGCCCCTTCTTCGTCGGCTCAAATAAACCCTCGAGGTGAGTGTGGACAGCTACCCCTGTGCATGAGGTATTCGGTCATATGAGAGGTCGGATTCTAACTATGGCTTTAGAGGTTTCACCACAATTCCTTCAGCAGCTCACCCTATACGCCCAGTACGCGGCAGCGGCATACTGCTCCGCCAACACCAACTCTCCGAATACGAAGCTCACCTGCTCAGTTGGGAATTGTCCTCTTGTCGAGGGGGCGAATACCAAGACTTTGGCCGAGTTTGAAGAGTACGTCCTCGCCACAAGTACCTATGCCCCAAATTTGCTAACATACGAATCAAAACAGCGCCGAAGCCTTTGGCGACGTAGCCGGATTCCTCGCTGTAGATGAATCCAACAAGCACATCGTTCTCTCCTTCCGAGGGACCAGATCGATAGAGACCTGGGCTGCCAACGTCCAGTTCGGAAAAGAGGATGTCGATGAGCTCTGTGACGGGTGCAAAGTGCATACCGGCTTCTGGAAGTCATGGGAGTCGGTAGCTACCGCTACGATGGATGGCGTGAAGAAGGCCCTCCAGGCTTATCCAGGATTCAAGCTTGCCGTGACCGGGCACAGTTTCGGTGGTGCTGTCGCGACTCTTGCGGCGACTGTGCTGCGGAATTCGGGATCTAAGGTTGAGTTGGTGAGTCTTTTCTCTCTCTTTTGGGCTTGGTTCTAGATTATGAGTCCGGTGCTAATGAGACGCGAAAAGTATACCTATGGAGCGCCTCGTGTGGGCAATGAGGAATTCGCCGACTATGTCTCGGGCCAGGGCTCTAATTTCCGTGTTACTCATTCCAATGATATCGTTCCTCGCTTGCCGCCTCGTCTGCTCGGGTATCATCAGATCAGTCCTGAGTACTGGATTCCCGCGGGGAACAATGAGACTGTTGGGACGGCGGATATCGAGATGATCAATGAGGCTGACTCAGATATGGGAAATGCTGGACAGAAGACGCAGAGCATTGAGGCGCATAAGTGGTATACTGATCATATCTATGAGTGTAAATAGGTTGTGTGGTCTTATTATCTTCGAACACTCTCTCCATATTAATAATATTTAATAAAAACCATAACAGCGAGATAAATAGACACTTGCCAGTAGATGGAAAGATCCCCTACAGTGACGTGCATATTATTTGGCAGCAATACATATTATATTATATCATATACAGTGATGGTTGATACGGAATGTAGGCTGATCCAAGACCTGATGTGTGGTTATCTTGCCATGTTCTCGTCCAACGTTGAGGCGGCCACAATTTCATTTTCTACTCCTGTTGTAGCAGTGACATATGTACCGACTGAAGGTACCTCTATCTGGTAACCAGTAACTAAAAGATAAAAGGGGCAGGTCTTGTAACTGTTGAGAAGTAGTATTGGCAAATCGCGAGCAACATAACACTTATAACCAAACTATGGGCAAGGCTTCAAGCCTAACCAGTAATTTCCGGGGACAGCTGAGAATGATAGGTTAAGTTGCCAAGTCGACAAGTCTTTGAGATTATGTCACCGACAACAATGCGTGGTAGTGCTCATGTCGTTAGGGCCAATGGCCGGAATATCGTAAAGGACATTAGTGTTTTGGTCTGACTCGAAGAGATCTTATTTACTGCCAAAAGAAAAGTGTCTAGTTTTGTTAGCTTATTAGTAAGATGGTATATCTCAAATTAATGATATAGAATGGTTGGTACGACCTATTGGCATACTCGACAAGATCGATTTGGGACAGACAACCGCCTAGGGAGCGTGAAGGAGCGAAATGAGGGAATACGGAAAGGACGAAGGTTGTTATGTAGAATAGCGTATACTGCATAGATCTGGCTATTGATTCATCTCCTGTTATTGAAAGAAAATCTGTTCTATATTGATAAACCTGCCAATTATATTAGTCCTTCTAGGTGAGAGAAAAGAGTTGAGATTGTAGTCATCATCTAAGCAGATCAAGATGAGTATTATATTTCCTACGTCATCATGAACGTGAGAGCTGATGGAGGAGATTCGCTTATACAGTGTGATTAGTGATTTTTGACTAATTCATAGTTATCATGAATGACTGTAAGTTACGTAGACACTAGATAAAAGATTCATGTGGCTGGTGCTGAACGTGAGTGATCTTGTCTGCTCAGTTTCGTGAATTCATGTTGAATTCAAGTCTTGATTTCCGGGACTATTGAAGGAATCTAACTATGCCGTCGTCTCTGTATTTAGACAAGGCTGATAGAGATAGATCACGAGGCCGCACAATCTGTTCTCTCATTGATGAAAGCCAGCAGAGCCACGACAGGCGCCTAAGTAAGTCTTCTTGCTCGATGTCGAGGAGTTCACCATCTAAAACTCTACTTTCGATATTGGCTTTGTGAGAAACGACGCCCATAAGCGGAAGGGAGTCTTTATATAAAAGTGGCGCTGCACTTGTGGTGGTAAGTAGCATCGGGTTCCGAGCAGTTAGTTCGGCTCCGAAGTTGCTGGCAAGCAAAGTGCACCAAAGAGAAACCGAGGAAAGCGCAAGATATATATACCAGAAATCTCTCGTCGCATTCAGCTCCGAAGAAGTCAGTGGTACCCCTGTTGATGAAGACGCCGCACGCTTTGGCGATATGGGGCATATGAGGCTGGCGAGAAGCCCGTGGGCAATGTCACCGTGTTGTCCTGCAGGATGGCGAGTAATTCTTAGGCCAAATTACTTTATTTGTGTTTGCGCTTCTTCTGAGACTTGTTGCCTCCAACAGAACCTTGACGTCCACCAGATATACTCGTTAATTTCGAGAGCTTGACCTTCGGAGGCTGTTTCGAGGCCTTTGCTTTGGCTTTGTTGATCATAGACTCGACATCATCTTCGTCTTCATCCTCGTCCTCCTCAGAACCAGACTCATCACCGCCCGTGTTGCGCGTCTATAATGGTCAGCAAGACCAATCCCGCAGCTTGAAGGTGCGAACAAACCTCAGTCTTCTTCTTCCGTTTGAAGTTACCATAAGACTGTCTCCCTCCATATGCCAAGTCATCGTCATCATCGGCGTCGAGAGAACCATTGGCGACTACGAAGGGAGGTGGGGCATATTGGTTCACAGGGTCTTCAGCACCAAAATCAAGCACCCATTCTGTTTCGCCTGATTCCGCAGCCTGGCGCGCAATAGCTTCCCGACGTTTCTCTTCTTCCGCCGCGAGAGCAGCCGAGATAGCCTCAAGATCCTTCGAGGGTGTAGCTGCCGGGCTATAAGATTGTTCACCGGGTGCGTATCTTTGGCGTTTTGGGGTGGGAGTGTTTGAACCTTCGGTGGAAGGCGGCTGAGACGATTCTTTAGCGGCAGCTGTAGCGGCGGATCGTTGCATAAACTTGAATCAATCAGTCTGTGTTCGCTAAACTCCAGTTGACGAAGATCGTATAAGTTCGTAAAAACCCAAATGCAAGCGACATACTTTCATCGTAAGAAGACGTGAGGACATTGTCTTCTCTGGCTTAGAGCCAGTCGCAGGTGAGCCGGCCATAACGGAATTGTGACAGAAGAATTGGCGAAACTAGACAGACTCGGAAACCCTTTTTCTAATGTACCGTGCAATAATATGTAGATATAGCGATGAAAGAAAGCACGACAAAAAAACATGAGCCAAAAGCGGAACAAATTCGCAAGCGGCAGAATTGGGTCAGCAGCCGCAGGAGAGACGCCGATTGGCTCTTCAAGCGGCGGCGCGAGCTCCCGCAAACCTCACCCTTTGAAGCCGACTTCTCACCTCCGCTTCACCCGCCATCCACAATTGCCCTCTGCACCAAGTCCCAGGGACTCAATTGCTCAACATGTTGCCTTTGGCTCGAAGCCGGATCGCGGCGTTCTCTGCCGCCTGGACTCCTCGCATTGCCGCCCGGGCTAGCTACTCCACCACCGTCCCTCGTTTCTCCGAGAACAACATCCAAGCCAACAACCCGAACCCCCCGCAACCACCCAAGCCCAATGTATCCGCCACCAATGCCACTCCTGTTGATGCTATGGGTTCCCGGGATGCACCTTTGAGGGAGGATGTCGAGCTGGTGAGCGCAACCGCCAGCTTCAGGCTCCTAACCGCGCCAGGACCTGGGCCGCCAGCCAGCAGCCAAGAGAGAAGGCTATGACTGGACCTCGTTTCGAGCAGACAATCATGGAGATGCAGGTATGTTTAGGCATTACAATTGCAATTGGATGGTGTGCTGTGGTGGTTGTACGGACTGGATCCGAAAGATAGATCTGCGCAACTACCATGAGTGAAGGACCGATCAGCTAACACGATCAAATTCAGCCCCAACCTTATGCCGCCATTGAGCTCATCCACAAGCAGCCCGTCCGCTGGACAAAGAAGAGAGTCGTCAGCTGTGACGGTGGTGGTGGTCCCCTCGGCCACCCCAGAATCTATATCAACACCGACAAGCCCGAGATTGCTACCTGCGGCTACTGCGGCCTGCCTTTTGTAAGATCCACACCCAGAATTCATATTTGTGCAAATCGCTAATGTTGTAATAGGCCCACGAGCAGCACCGTGCATACCTCGAGTCCCTCCCCGCTACCAGCTACCCCCTCGAACCTACTGGTGATGCCGCTGAGGTGAACGAGACTCAGCGTGTCACCGAGGGTGGTCTTGAACAGCGGTAAAGCATTGTTTTTGGCGTTGATGATTGTTTGTTTTTCTTGCCCTCTCCTTTGCCTTCAGAAGGGCGTTGTACAGATTGTACCGATCAATGAGTTAGAATAAAATGTTTCCATATCAATCGACGATAGCCCGATTCCATAGTCGATCAGGTATAAGTGGGGTCAATACTCCCTAGATGTGGAGATTCAGATGGCGACCATTGCTGTCAATTTTACTGGTATTCAGATATACTTGACGGAGGAGTATTTGTACGGTCCGCTGAATTACAGCTCGTCATTATGAGATACCCTCGACAATCGTTGGGTCGGTTCACACTATCTACATCTGTCCAATGCTTTTATAAACCCAATCTCTCATATACAACACAACACCCTTTCTAAGCCACCTTAACAACATTGGCATAGCATCATAAGTCATAAACTCCCCCTCATATCGCCATCGAATCATTTTTTCTCTCCCTGAATGGTAGCGACAACATTTCTTCTATGCGTATGAGCCCTGAACTCCAAATACCAAATTCCCTGCCAAGTGCCGGTGGCCAGCTTTCCATCAGAAATCGGAATGCTAACGGAAGCTCCGATTAGCGCGGACTTAATATGTGCCTATCGAGAAATTAGCATATGCCTTTCGAAAACAACCACTCTGCGCCTGGGCCGGGTCATCATGGCCTAACAAAAGGTCTAAATACCGGCATGTCATCCTCTCCTTCCGCTGAATGGAGATAAAGGTCCCCCTCCCGATCATAAGGCGCAATTCGCTCAAGCGCATTGGTCATGTCTTCACGCACATCTTCGTCCCAATTTTCGTTCAATGAAAGGGCGCAGCTCGTGTGTTTGATGAAAAGGTGTAGGATTCCGACCTTGTAGTCCTTGATTTCGGGGAGCTGTTTTCTGACCTCGTCGTCGATCAGATATGAGCCGCGGGACTTCGGAGGAAGAGAGAAGGTTTTTTGGAACCAGGACATCTTTGATGGTCTGTAACAATAGTTCGTTATTAGGTAGGGAGGGCTCGAAGACGGACAATTAATGGGTGATTCGTGTTGTTGTTCTTGTGAGGGGTTGCTAGAGATTGGGGAGGTAAATCCGTCCGATGGTGGGGACAATTTATGAATTTATGCCCACCCCGTCGACGTCATGTATTTTTTTTCACCTGATTAATTCTAATCGCTTGCGATATGATTGGACTTCAAGACCTTACTCTTAAGTAGATGGCGTTTCTACATAGACCAGATATTTATCTATTTGTCAAGAACAACCACACAGCTGCATATTTACATACCGCCACATGTTCAAGATTTCTCAGCAGTACAGATACTCTCTTGCACATAAGGGGGATTACTTGTGGCACTGCCCCAACCAACACTGCCCAAAGCCTTACCGGCATCTGTGGAGTGATCTGATAAGATCTACACTTGTCAGCATCAAAACAAGCATGCTGGTATGATAAAGAGCACGTCTAAAGAAATGCAACACTTACATAGTACTGTCTGTCAACATAATGCCACCAATCATTACTACGGAACGCATTATCCGTCGACTGACTGATTGGGTCAACCCAGCCGGTATTGCGTGTATCGAAGTGGGCATGTTTCGACCATGAGATATACACCTTGGGGTGATCATTATTACGGACACCATTGGGGTCATTGGCTGCTCCAGCTTGGACCTCCTCCGTGGTGAGAGTATTCTGGATATCCCCCCAGGCTAGATTGTGATAGCCGCTGTGGGAAGAGAGCAGTGCTCTCGATGGTGCCCACATGTTGTTGCCATCCCGGGAGTGAATGATGATTACTCTTTCCCAGTCGCTATGGCCGTTAAAGAACGTCTTGAATAATGGAGCAATTCCTAATACTCACTAGTCGTGGCCGGTGTCAATAACTCCGATTACTTTGGCACCGTCCTTCTCATAGAAGAGATTATACGCCACTCGCACCTCGGTATCACTACACCTTTTAAAGGTATAGTAAATCGGAAAGCCCGGTGCCCTATTGTTAATGGCCACTCCTGGGTTGCGGCATTTGCAGCCAACGTCTGGATACTCGCACTGTGCCGCCGCAGGGGTCCTGTGGCTGCTGTCGTAGACATCATTTGAAGTAGGAGATCCTCCAAAGGCCCACGTTGGGTAACAAGGGGGGTGCTCAAGTGCCTGGCCAAAGAACCACATGGGTGCATAGCGATCTGCAAGTTCCACCCCTCCTTCGCCAAGATAACTCGCCATCTGCTCATCAGTAATCTGGGTGACAGCTGCTGCCCCGCTGGCGGCCCAGATGACAGCGAGAACATACGTCTTTTGAAGTCGCATTACGGCTTCTAGACTGTAAGAAACGTGATCAATTGAAGCAGCGTTCGGACCTATGAATGGGATGTTAGGATTCTGTGGCTCCTTTTTTAACGCATATTTCCCGAGGGGGACGATCTCTTTTTAAATATCCGACATGCAGCCACCACACTCTTCCATATAGTCGCCGAATCGACAAGGGAAAAGAAGATGATCGAAGAGGGTGACATTGTGAAAAAACAAATCGGAGATTTTCCCCAATGGTCGTCAGGGGAATCACGAATCGGTTGATTTCAATTCAAACCATATAATCACGACACGCGGGTGGAAAGAATGGTCTAGATTGGTCAACTGATCAGGGATTGGCGTCTAATCGACCCAAGTCGGTATAACTCTAGGTCACTTGCGAATAGTCTCATGCATGTCTTAGATTTTACCCCGAATCTCACCTTGCATCTCAAGCGGCATAATCAGTAGTTCAACTACCATATTTCCAGCTTTGCTAACCTATTTACACTAGTAGAGGCATATTGTATTCTTGAATTGGCTTTTTTTCTTTATTCTTCCATTCATTTATTTCTCGGTGCCCTTGTGTCTCACACGCCAATGAGATTACTTTGTTCGGAGTACAGGGCTGACTAGCACCAGTAGTATATTTCGACTTCAGGCCAGTGACCATATTTTTAGCATACTACCTCGGTACTAACTATATCGATTGTATAACTCGCTATTCTCATCCACTCCCCATCTCAATGAGTGATTTAAAAAAAAAGAATTGTCAACCGCTCGCTCAATACTCGGATCGCAATGCAAGTATGTCGTAAAGCATCGAAAGGCTTCTGCCCACATGCATATAGTATAAATGACTCAATAAGAAGAAGGTGCTAGATGGGTATACCTCGTAGTATAAAGCAATCACTTGACGCTGGCCGTTCTGTTAAGTCATGGGAATCAGTCTTGAAAAGCCCATGCCGCGGTTCCTCGTGATTGACCCTGTGGGGGATTGCTGGCCGTGGTGTTCACCGTGAAAATGGCCCGTGGCCTAATTGATCACTTCGTCGCAAGTTACTGACTTTTATTTGCTTGATTGCCCTAGCTTGATGTGTTATGTGTAGACATAAGTCGTTTTGTTGATCACTTGCTCTTCATATCTATTGGTGTCTATGTAACCCTCCGTACTAGCCTAAGCGCACCTCGCGGGTGGGTATTTATATCTATGACTTAGTAATTACCTGAGAAGTACTGAAGGCTTCGAAGTGATCGAATTTTGCCAGAAGGAATTATGAAGATCCTGGTGCTATTATATTTTAGAATTGGATCCGATGTAGATAATACTACGCTGCCCATGCAGATATTTTTCGATATAGAGATAGTAATATAGGATAACAATGCTGTCCAAGAGAACACAAATATGCACTCTATAATATACTATACCTCTTATACATAACATCATAACCCTTAAATTTATCTGCGATCTTGGTCCACAGTCCCAGCATGTGTACCCATATCCTGTAACAGCTTCACCAATGTAACCAGATTCTTCTCCGCAGCCAAGGATAGTGGTGTCCGTCGCAGATTATCCTGGCACCGTGTATCAGCCCCCTTGTCAAGGAGCAACTTTGCGACCGCTTCATGGCCTTCATCTACAGCTATGAATAAAGGTGTTCGCAGTACGCGATCTCGAGCCTCAATATTGGCCCCCTTTTCTAGTAATAACTTTACCGCTGCCTCACAACCTCTCTTTACAGCAAGCAACAGCGGCGTCTCCTTTATAATATCCAGGGAGTCTATATTTGCTCCATATTCCACGAGAACTCTCATCGTTGCCTCATGGCCACGCTCCGCGGCGACCGCTAATGGTGTTTGTCTCCTGTTTTCTCGACATTCTATAGAAGCACCATTCTCCAGTAAAAGCTTTGCTGTTGCTCTTTGCCCTCTGAATGCAGCCCATAATAGTGGTGTATATGATATGTTGTCGTGTGACTCTATATCTGCCCCTTTCTTTAGTAAGAATGCGACTACTGCCTCACGCCCTTCACGTGCAGCTAAAGATAATGGTGTTCGGTCAGATGAGTCCTTGGACTCTATGTCAGCCCCATTATCGAGCAGTAGCCCGACCACCGCATCATGGTCGTTTTTGGTAGCAGCCCAGGAAAGTGGTGTTAGGCCTCGTTGTTCATCTTTAGCGTCCACGTCAACCCCCTTCGCAAGCAGTAATTTAACCACCGGGTTATGGCCAGATTCTGCGGCCCGTGACAAAGGGGTTCGACCAAATTTATCCCTCGAGTCCGCATACACTTTACCCGACTGGAGGAGTAGCCTGACAACGGCCAATCCACCAGACGCTGCTGCATATGAAAGGGGGGTCCGTCCGATCTCATCCCCCAAGTCTGGTTCAACATCGTTCCGGGCCAATAATAGCTTCACAATAGCCTCCTGTCCACATTCTGCTGCGCGGGATAGTGGTGTGTGGCCGTTGATATCCCGTCCGTTAGGACGAACATCACTGCGGGTCAGCAATAACCAGAGCATTTCAGCATGACCCTTTTCTGCGGCGCGCGACAGAAGCACCTGTCCCTTCCCATCTATTCCATTTGCATTTATCCAGTTTTTCTCTGTATCGCAACAGACCTGAAGTGGGTTGGCTAAAATTTGCAACTGGAGATTATCTATAGTTGTCACTGTATCTTGCACTTTTCTGTCCTTTGCGACCTTACGTGTTGCTGGACGTCGTTGTTTCACACATATTCTTCTCAAGGGATATTGTGATGGCTTAAGATCTTCTAAAGTGAGGTGAATAAACCCTCCGCAGTGAAGCCTCTGAAAATGCTGCATTGTCAAGAATACATCTTGCATGTGAATTGCAATTAATCTATTCCTGCCACTCGCATCGCTCTCCGCACAATGCAAGATACCAAGCCCGAGACCAGGGTGACCAACACCAATAAAACGTAGTTCCAGATGTATCCCTTTGCTGCTTATGGTCAAGGGCCCATCGGCAGTTGTGAAAGGGCTGTATGGGACAATATTGGCAGAGTCCCTAAACGCATCTGGGGATGTTGCTAACAGCCCCCCATGATTCTCATCTTCAGAGTCCGATCGCCAGGCAAATATGCTGTGATCATCCAATATTTTCATGATCTCTTCCTGGAGTCTAATAAAGGCGTTTTTGCCCTCCCCATAAATAGGCGGCATGTTGATCCCGAATATGCCCATTAGACAATATGCCCGATCCTCAACTCTTGTTGTCACCCTTCTCGCAGCCCATGACATCCGTTGAGCAACACTAGCAGTTTCAACATCGTCCTCCCCCGTCAGAATACCAACAGGTATGCTAGTAATCTCCGATAGAGCATCTCGTAGGCTCTCTCGGGTTCCCAACTCATTCCAATCATGATCGAGAAAAATAACTGACGACGGAGCGATTAGCTCCTGAAGCGTCCATCCTCGCGTGAACCATCTACTCTCCGCTAAAGGCTTTGACGGCACATCCGGAAGATACGCATAGCATACTTCAGCTTCCTGATACCACCGATACATAGAATTAAGTGACTCAGACAGCTCCGCACTGCTTGTCTTATCAATGCAACACGTATCGATCCAGGCGTATCCATACCCGTTGGCCCTAGCGAACGTACAACAATCCTTGACCTTTTTGAACCCCTTCTTATCGGTAATGCCAGTCGTAATATCCTGAAACGTGACCTCCATCTCGTGCCATGTATGCGAGAGAATAGCGTACGGCGGGGGCTCACCAAAGAATTCCTCAATGGTGAAGTTGCCCGTATCGGACGGCGTCGTATTTAGAAGACGCATGACGTGAAACTAGGAAACACCTTTCTCTGTCTCGCTTTGGGGGCAGACTCAGAGCAGGGTATAATAGGAGTTCTAAGCATGGAACTCCGCGGCCGGAGGCTGTCGTATTTTTAGACGACGAGGGATTCTCGGTGACTTCGATTATGGCCCCCATTGCCTTTGGTGGGGCTTGCTAGTGAGGCCCTTCTTGACTTCTACTACTAGTAGTTGGGGCTATATCTGCATCCCTAATTGGGCGTCTTGCACTCGGGCGCTTAGAGCCCGGCGCCATTGGGTCGCCATATGCAGGGGGTTGTGCTGACCCGAAGAGGGCTGGTATGTAATGGTATGATAAGGAAAGATGACCTTCTCTAAGATAGCGCTAAACGGGAAACTATTAATATAAGGAAGTGCATGATATAGTAGGACTCGTTATGGCGGGTCAGGATAGGTTATATCGTGGTTGCTAATGAAAAGGTAAAAAAAATGTGGTTGTATGCGCAATACACTACTAGCACGGTCATACAGGCGATCTGGGAACCGCTTGGGCTTAGCCCTATCCATTAATCAAAACCCTCCCAAGTAGATCTCAATGAAAGCATAACGACTTCCAACACCAAGGAGCAGGCAAAGAGACAATATAACTATAGCTTTACAGCACTTCCCAATCAATTGAGTCTGGATAGAAGCGATGGTGTCTTAATTGTCATCCATATGTTCAAGGCCAACTGGAGTTCCCTTGGACAGACGTGCAGACTGTAATGTAACAGGGACGAAAGGACTCAAGAATTACGACAAAGTCTCTCTTGGATTTTCAATCTTCAGATCCCTAGATGATGATGGCCATGGCATAAGAGCATCATAAATCGCATTTACATCGCAATGACATCATTTGCGATTTCCGGTTGTTTGGTGGCGTACAACCAACTAGATTCAAGCAAGATATATATATGGACACTGGTGTGAGCGAATACAGTTCGAATAGATCCATTGATTTCTAACTGAATTTTATGCTGTTTAAGCCACCTGCAGCTTGTTTCTCGCAATCCATCGGCCTTTCCTGACCTCTATCAGTCGTACAGGCCAGCAAACATCTCAGAGCTCTCTTTCTAGAATCACCAGCCACTCGGTCTCAAACTATCGCAAGTTCATTTATAGTACCCCAATAATGGCGGATGATGTGCCGACAGGAGGGGAGCCCTTGCCCAACCCCATTTCCGGCACTACTGACGAAGCAAGCTGGAAGCATCGTCCGCCATACAAGATCCAAACAGACGAAGAATTCGGTCCCGTGAAATGGACCGGCAGGTGTCAATGTGGGCAGGTAGAGTACAAGTTGAATCGAGAGAAGCCATTGAAATCGAAGTACTGCCATTGTCGGGGGTGCCAAGTATTACATGGTAAGTGAATGAACAGAATAAGAGTTCTTCATTCTTCGACCGCGAGGTACCTGGAGCATTCACCTGGAAGGTACTAACCAACATAAATAGGTGCCCCATTCCAGTGGGCCACTATATTTCACAAGGCCGATATAACTTTCACCAAAGGTGCTGATGGCCTGGCGTTCTATTCATCTACGGAGAAGTCGAGAGAGTATATGAACCCGACGAAAGTGTCGTGTTCGTTCTGTCGGACCCCGATTATGGATGAGGGACGCAATGTCTGTCTTCTATTCCCTGCATCTATTGACTATGGGGAGACACAAGAGGAGAGGGAGAAGTGGATTAATGCATTCGAAATAGAGTCAGTTTTCAACATGCCTTGTCTGAGTTTGGATTGGTCTTATGTTAACCTTGTCTGCAGGTGCCATATATTCTATAGCCAACGGGCTGTTGAGATCCCAGATGGAAAGCCGAAATGGTCCGAGCTAGATGATAGTAGCGAGCTTTTGGATGATTTGGGTAATCCCAAGAAGGGCAAATCATGAGATTCCCTATATAGTCCCTCGGTACCCCATAGGTTGATTAAAAAAGAAAAAAAAGAAAATTCAGATTGCACGCACCTGGAGCACTGTCCGGCGCACAAAGTAGTAGCATATAGAATAAGCAGCAATGTTGGCTTCGCTTACGCTATTTTACTCTAGCGCGCATCCTAATCCCGTATAGGTACTGTCTTCTACATGCCCAGAATTGAATATACTACTAGTAGTTAGCACTTCTCCATATCAAGCTAGAGAGCGTTCTAAATGTCTTGGAGTTCTCGTGACGCTAACCCCGCTTTCCATTCTATTGTGATTGTGATCCATGTTATATTGCAGCCTTACGCTCAGGGGCATCAATGGATCTACATCTACCCATATAGTATCAAGACTATACCCTTTGGTTGTTGGCAGTTAAGAAATACACAGCATTGTCACTTTTGATACTCCTCCTTTCTGTGTCATTTCCCAAACAAAGAATCCAACATCAAAATGGGTCCTCAGCTGCTTCTGGTCGTGGGCTTGCTCCTACAAGTGCTCTCTGCGCATAAGCTGCACCCGCGCCAAAGCACTGCCTGCGACTTCTGGGTAGCCGCCTCCTACGCTGGAGAAACTTGCGACACTTTCACTCGGAGGTGGCGTATTGATCGTGCCACATTTCTATTGTTAAATCCCGGCACCGACTGCTCCTCTCTTGCCGATGATCGCACCTACTGTGTGAAGGAAAAGAACCCGTCGATCTCGGCTACGGCCACGATATCAACCACAGCCACCTCTCCACCGATAGTGTCCACCACCACTGACAGCTCCACCGCGACATCGTCCACCACCACCGACAGATCTACAGTGACATCGTCTGCAACTTCTAGCAGCTCTACAGCGACAAGGGAATCTACGACTCCGACAGCTAGCGCCGAGTCTACCGCGTCAGCTCCTACCATTCCCCTGCAAATAACGATGATTGTTACACTATTGTTGTCTCTCTGCTTTATTTAACCGGGCTTTCTCGAAAGGCATGTCAATACAGATTGATGCATGTACCCCAACTGCGGCTCTTCGAGCGTATAGGCATTGTATGTACATACATAGTGCCTGAATGGTATTTTGAAATTGAGAACAAAGCCCTGGAGCGCTTGGCCCGGACTATTCCGTTGTCTGTTTGCCGGGTGAGCTGTCTGTTTGTGAAATGATCTGTAATCTGATTATTCCCTAGCCTTGGTATTCCAAAGATGGCGTTGTGATCTGGAAATACTTCCCGCTAGGCCACTGAACGGGAACGCACAGATTGCCAGGCGGACCCTATACGGTATAGTTAGGATATTATTCAGTATTGTCCCTGGGTGACACGTGAATGTTCAATGAACAGCCGGGAGAAAATGGCGCGGCAAGCAGTTAATTTCCGTCCTTTGTTACATTGGGGGCGGTACTACTAGTCGTCGTCGTCATGCCGCCAGCGATATAAAGAAAGTCGTGACCGAATGGGAAGAACTAAGAAAGTCTGTCCAACACAACGTCCGTCCGGGCTGACAGGAGTTAAAAGCATCGGTAATCCTTCAATTACGGCCGCCCCACTTGTTTCATCCAACCACCGGAGAGGCCACAACCGCCGGTCCTGAAACACGATAGACGGTTCTCTTCCCCTGTCTTGGCAAGGTGTTCTCCAGCCTAGCCTGGGCAAAGTCGCAAACACCATCCTCGTTATTTCGCTTCTGGATGGTTGATAAAAATAAGCACCGTGCAGCGATCAGAGCAAACCATGCACCGGTCGCGCGGACTAGTTTCCTGGAAGGCTGAAATGATTGACTCTCAGCTGCAGGGATCACCGCCTTCCAAGAGCAATCAGAGTGCAATGGGAACAAATGGAAGACCAGAACGAGCCCGATGGGCAAAGAAGCAACCGCCAGCTTTCTCCATTGGGGAACCCACCGGGCGCACCTCTTCGATTGCCACAGAAATAAAGTGTTTGCAAAGCGATAATTCGGCGGCACCTCCCGGCCCCGATTTCATTCATTTCCCTTTTTCCCATATTAAATCTGGTGGAGGTTCCCCTTCCCCACTTGCACATCCTCCTTCGTTCATTTCTCACGCATCCTCCTCTTTCGCTTAGCCTCATTCTTGCCATCTTTAATATTTCTCTGACTGCAAAACCTCCCCCCTCTCCCCCCCCGATTTCCTACTTTCTCGCTTTCATTCGAGCAGTTCGTGTTTCATCAATGCATTTGTCCTTCATACTCGCATCATGGGGTTTTTAAGCCGTTTTCGCAAGCGTTCGAAAAGTCATAGCCGTGCGGGGAACGCGGTCAGCTATGAGCACCTCCGCACTAACTATGAGGTTGTTCCTCCATTGCCCATCATGGGCACAGACTACACCAAGAGGCTACCACGACCGGTTTTGATCCGCATCTTCTCCTTTGTGTGCCCTCACACCGAAGATAACAGCTATGATACCTCAGAGGAATCCATGACCGAGGATGGCTGTATGCTTTGTGACATGCGTGACCTTGCACACTGCGCGTTGGTGTGCAAGCGATGGTCCATCGATGCGGACGCTCTCCTGTAGGGATTAATGCCTTCAACCTATTTTCCCTCTTCCCCGGGCTAACCTGGCATCTCAATTCTTAGATACTCCAATGTCCGCATCGACGCCGTCCACTACTGTGAGCTCGAGGTTCAGTTATCAGCTAAACGGAAACGCCGCTCCTTCTTCGACAAGAATGGCGATCCCGAAGATGCCCCCCAGGCTCGCCTATCGCTCTTCATGCGAACTGTTCGACAATCACATGGCCTAGGGAGTATGGTCCGCTCGTTGCGCATGCCGTATATGACTCGCGAGGCAAGCAAATCGGAGATTGCACGAACGGTTTCCGTGTTGCCCAATCTCCGCTACGTTGATTTGCCCGCTGGATTCTTCAGTGATGACCCCGCGTGCCTCGCCCTGAAGCAGGAAATTATGGCCCGCTGTCCAGATCTTCGCCGCATGAATTACCGACATGGGTCGGAGGGTACCTTCTCGCAGTTGCCTGGCACACACCTCTGGGCGAATCTGGAAATACTGGAATTGTCGGGACTACAAGTCGAGCCTCACATTCTCCGATTCGGCCTGGGCGCGTTTCCCAGGCTTCGCGACTTAACTTTGGAGGACCTTCCCTGGCTCGATGATTCCGCCTTCGTACACTCCCAAACCTTTCCCCCGTTCCCCGCTGTTGAGCGGCTTACCCTTCGAGATACCCCGAATGTCACGGCAAGCGGGCTTGCCGCATTTTTCTCCCTGCCTGAAAACCGAGCCTCTTTGCAATCCTTGACCCTGTCATCTACCCAAGTCCAACCCTCGACTCTCCACCAAATTCTCTCTGTCGCACCGGAGCTCCGCGCGCTATCAGTCATCCAGGAAGTCTCACGATCGTTCCCTCCGGAGAAGGTGCCACCGCTCACCTCCCGGTCACTTGAACTGTTGCACTACGAGATATCTTCCCCACCCGGCTCTTACGGTATGCCGCCGGTGGCAAGCTCGTATTATTCTTACCTGATTTCATCCTTGATGTCCAACTGTCTTCCTGCGCTTCGGGATCTTTATGTCCGTGACGCCGGATTTCCAGAGGCACTCTTGCTTGCCCCTCCACCCCGCTTATTTGGTGGAGGTGAGAGTGGGCCCCAATTCGGGGGAGGCATCCTCGCACAGCCGTTGAACGTGTACAGCAAGGGCTTGGACGAATTGGAGTGGAACTTCACTCCTTATGAACCGCCTTCAACCAGAGGCCGTCGGGATAGTACGACACGGCCTGTGAGCTTTCACGATGCTCAATTGAGTCGTTCCTGGGGTGGCGACGCAAGGAAGAGTGTGCTAGTGGGTAATGGCTTTGGCGGGTTCCTGGCTGTTCCCGTGGATGATGGGCGTCCTAAGAGTAGTGGTGGTTGGAGGCGTGAGAGCAGAGGTGATTTGTGGCGGTGATCGAGTTATGAAATCTTCCTACTTTAACTGTTTTGATCGCGAGACTATGTGATGGAATACGGGATAATGTTATAATGAGTCTATACCCTGGTGCAGGTATTCCGCGCGGTAGCATTCTCTTACATTTTCTGTGCCCTGGCCTTTCTCGCAACTTGATATGAGCGTGCTTGATCTGTATAAGACATAGCCTATTGTACTCGGGTTGTTGATGAGCGTACTAATGTTTTTATTTAAGACGAACAGAAGCATCTACCATTCTATTCAAGTGGCAGGGTGACCCTGGCCCATATTTTTCCTTTTATCACGGGATGTTTTGGAGGTTTTCTTCCCCTCTCGTTGAATGATGCCACCCCTGCTTTTGCCTTTTCACACCTTCCTGTACTATACGTATCGTTCGCTCCTTGCTCTTTCGTCATGTCGTATATCTCAGTGTCCCTGTTATATGTGGGATTCGAAAGACCAAATATGCACTTCTGCTTTACTATATCTTATATTTCTTTATATCTAACTAGAAACCTCTGTCAACCTTAGCTTATTACTTCCCAACACGCGTTGCACATTCTAGCCATCTAAGGTTACTATTGACCGATTATCCTTCTATCTCTCCTGCAGGCCTAGTGCAAAATGGAGACAGCCGACTTGGAACCACAAGAACCGACAAGAGCCCCGCCAACGGTGCCGAGTGCAGACCTTTACTTGAAAGATTCCTATCGTAAAAACGTGATGGTCGATACAATATCCAAGTGAGTCAGGGAACTGAGCCGAGTATGTTTTGCCTACTGATGAGGAATGCATGAGGCTTCGGTTGGATTACCAGCATAGTGACTTCACTATTGTTTGCGGTGACCAAAGCTTTCGAGCTCATAAGACAGTGGTCTGTCCTCAGTCACAATATTTCACGAAGGCATTGAACGGCTTATGGCTGGTTTGTTTTCTTATTTCCTATATGCCTCGGATGTCGTGGCTAATACCCAATAGGAGGCTCAACCTAACACAATCCACCTCCCAGACCATCCTCTTGCTGTGCGAATGATGCTTGAATTTCTTTACAGGTCTGATTACACTTTTTATATGGAGTACAATTTCCCCAGCTCAGACTTGGCGGAAGGTATAAGTCCACCTGAGGATGCGATCGGTATGCTCTCCTATCTCGATAGTATAGAGATTGATCTAAATCATGGTTTTCCAAGATCGTCTCACCTGCTGCGAACTGTCTCTTCATCTGAGAGTCCATCTTTTAGCAAACCGTCTTCTTATAGAATCACTTGCGTATGCTTCCCTAGAAAAGCTTTGGCAAACTCTGCATCGCGCCTCGTTTTTCACCGTTTTCCCCCGTCTTATTAGGGAGACGTACGTGACTACTACAGCCCATCATCAGCGCGTGCGGCAGAAAGTCGTTTCTTTCGCTGTTGAGGTACTCCGCGGCAACGTCCAGCGGCATGACCTTGGCCACAAGTTTCCAGAATACATACTGGATGAGATACCGGATTTCGCACGCGACTTGATGAAACAATGTATTGACTACTTCCTGAAACGGCAAAAAACGAGGGATTGTCTGAGATATGAACGTCGGTTTTGACAAAGGTGACAATTACGCAAGAGCCGCCATTCATTTGAGCGAGCTACTTATTCTCTAATATCTAGTCAGTCTTTAATGTAGCCTTGCTTTGGTACATTCCAGTCGTATCTACATAGACACAGTCATAGAGTCACCATAGACTGCCGCTATGATAAATTTGTCATGCCCTATTTCCTTCCGTCCACTTCTCCTTTTCCCGTGACAACGCCCAGAAGTGACCTTTGTGACCCTTGGGCTCATCACAACTAGCATATTGTTTACATTCAGCTGCGGCCTGTGAGAATTGCTCCACTCGCGATCAGCATGATTCTCCCACCACCAGAGCCGCAACATCATGACTCTGCAGCTCCACGTTATATTGATCCTTCACACAACCCAGATCCTCACCCGTCCAAATGTCAGTTACCAGATATCCACTGCCCTTCTCAGCGGAGTCCCTCAGCTCAGGGATCTCGCTCCACACGGCAGTCCGGCTTTTAGCACTGTCTTCTGAGTTGAACATCAAAACTAGGGTTCCGCCCAGAGTCGACGATGGGCCGGACCAATATTCCGCTGGATGCGCTGGATCGAATGTCCAGTCCGGGTTGTATCCCCATTTATAAGGATATGCGGGGCGACCGATTACCGGATCTTGGTGGAAGGACAGCAGGGGCTTATTCTTGAGAATGGCTAGATGCTCCTCTTTGATCGAATCGAGCTATTTCAATTAGCCAGACCTCCTTCACCGAGCTAGGGGGGGGGGGGGACGTACAGGAGTGCCGATGATAAGAGGCGATTTCATTGCTGCCCAGAGAGCAAAATGGGCTCTATTCTCTTCAAGAGTCAAATTTCCATTGCCGACTTCCAACATGTCAGGATCCGGGTACCCCCAGAAATCGGCATAGTTCATGAGGAACGAGTTCTCGTTGGCAATCTCGACAATCCGGCTCCAGTTGGCTGCTCAAGTCAGTTATGGTCTTACTAGGTCCCAGAAGATATCAACGCACGTGTAATATCCCCCGTCGTTCTCCAAGAGTTGCCCGTCGCGTTACCCCATTTGTTCACGTCCGCCTGGCCCCAGTTGCACAACGAATAGAGAATGGTCCGATTGACACCCAGCAATGCATCGCGCATAGTCTCGTATCTTTGAGCTGTTTTCGAACTGCTCCAGTCGTATTCCGATGGTGCTGGGTTGGATATATCTGGACAAGTGCCGTTGGGGAAGTTGGCCCCATTGGTGTTGTCTGGCACACAATGGGTATACGTATCGGTCCAGTTAGTAGGTACGCCGCAGTTATCGTATTTCAGATCTTTTCAGTTGAGTTAGTTATCTGATGGTTGGAGCAGCAGCAAACTTCCATACAGTCGATGCCCCATTCAGCAAAGCTCTCCGCGTCTATTTGCTCATATCCCAGACTAGCAGGATAGCCAGCGCAGGTTTCCGTGCCGGCACCTGTTTTCTTTAGTTTCATTTCAATCTGATAGTAGTATCCAGCCACATACTGCTATAAATGCCGACCTTCAGACCCATATCATGGATCTTAGAGGCGACACCTGAGATTCCGTCTGGGAATTTGGCTGTGTCCGGAATGATACGTTTTGTATTGGGATCTCGGCCACTTTTGACGGACCAGCAATCATCGACTACAGGGGTTAGCATTCATAGAGCAGGTTGCGGTTGACCTACTATTGATGTATTCATAACCTGCATCCTTTAAGCCCAGGTTTATCGCTTCTTCTGCCGCAGTCAAGATCTTGGAAGCATCGATATCGCATGCAAAAGCATTCCAAGAATTCCAACCCAAGGCGGGCAGTTTACCCTGTGCATCGTGTCAGTTACTGCTAGCCCAACGCAAAGATGAAACGTACCACGCCATCAGGCCGTACCAGAGCATCAGCCCCGGAAAGCAAAGACAGCGACACGACTAACGGAATGTAACGCTGCATTGGACTTGAGTTGTCCGCGAAAGTGGGACGAGTAAGGTTGGATGGAGACAGAATTGCCTATAGTCTGCAGAGATATGCACGGTACTTATACCCCAGAAGCGGGGGAAGCCATCTCTCTCAACTTCAGCGTATAGCAACATAAAAACATCCACATCTGGCCATCTCCCCGCAGATCATGCCTTCCGGAGAAACAGGAGACCGAGCGGCCATCTAACATGACTTTTACTTAAGGAGACAATATTTGATAGATGTGGTGTACTCCAGATTCCTCCGCAAATGGGGCAGTCTCCGTGTCGGAAACAGAATAGCGCCGGGGTAAGCATGCGGAGCAACATCTCCAGCTTGACTAAACATACATACATTCATTCTCCCAGACATAATGCCAACAGCTGACAGACCATCAAGATCCACAAATATTCTGGAAATACTGCTCAAACGCCATCGTCTTCACATCAGGAAACAAATCATTATGTACCTGCCCCGGCGGCCTCCAAAATCTACCTGATCCTTGCATTCCTTTCACCACAATCCAGAAGTCATCGGGAAACGCACCCTTCCCCTTGAGATCCTCCGGGACGTCTTCCTTGTTCTGAAAAACACGATGCATAACCTGTATTGGCATTAGTATCTTCTCAACCTTCCTGCGGGAGTATCTCTCCAACAGGGCCGCAATCTCGTTATAGCTAATATGGTCGCTAACGAAATTCAGCTCTTTGTTCTCCGAGACTTCCGGATGATCTATGGTTTTGACCAGGAAGTTGGCTAGATCACCAATGTGTGTAAAGTCAACCTTGGCGTCAGGATTGCCCAGGATGTGAATCGTGTACGATGGAAGATCGGCCTGCGTCCACGGACACCAAAGGGCTTCACGTTCTTGATTGTAGAGGTCCCCGCAACCGATCAGGGTGTAGGTCATTTTCCCTGAGACTATAGCTGGATGGTGGATCACTTTCTCGTTGGCCTCGGACTTTATGATCCATGCCTATGCAATGCAGTCAATCTAACAAACGACCAGCAGCCACGGCCAAAACCCGCCCACCGAGCGGGTAAAATAGAGAGCACTCACTGGGTGCACATATCCATAGCCGTCTTCCCCGGTGTAAACATGGTGCATCCCATACTCGCTAGGATAAAATCTCCTCACCCCAGCCATTCCTGCGGCTGTCTGGACCTTCTCTTGAGCAGAGAGAGCTTTCCCATTCACTGCACTAACGACCACTTCCACACCGTTCAGAATAGATGCCAACTCATCTGTATCGGCGACCAAGAGATCCACAGGAACCGTTCGGAGTCTTTGCTTTTGCTCGGCAGATATATTTATAGATCTTGCCTTGGTTTCGGAAGCCGGTTGAACGAGTTGAACTACCTCATGGGAAGTCGTGGTGAGAAGAGCCATGAGGATGAAATGACCAACCTGGCCTGTGGAGCCGAGGAGTGCAATTCTCGTCATGTTTATGATGATCCTTGTTTAAGACTATATCCTTTTGTCTTGCAATGCTGCTAAGGCTCAGCTTCTGTTTTGGTTTCGGGATGAATCTAGTTGACTATAAAGTCACCCCATTCGGCTCCCTAAAGATGTCCGGACTCTCAAAGTACCTTACAGGGTCTGTTATAGTGTTATTTCTAGTAGACAATCTTTTGTCTATCAGTTGGATTCATGTGGCCGCATCATGGATACGTCATGACGTAGCCCTAAAGCTCTAATTTCTTCCTGTTCAGTGAACTTGAAACTGTTATTTCAATTGACGTCCAGCTGAACTTAATCCACCGTTTATACTTTCTATGGAAGGAAAGGAAGACTTAATTTGCGTATCTACTGTCCTTTCTTAGCCGAGGAACTAGGCACCCCTTTCTATATCTTCCAAGAACCATGCATCAAAACCTGATTTGGACTGCGCCTCCGTTTCCCCTACCGTATCAGGTAGTTCCTTGGATCTGGTACTGGTTTCTTGTCAAATGATATTATTCTTCCTTTATTCACCTACAATTATACCAAACACAGCAGTATCCCACAGAGAGTTCCTGAAGTGATCACACCTACATAGATAACCACAACAGTACATACAACAATGCTATTCTTTTCCAACAGCATAGACTCCAAAAATGGCGAACGCAGACAATCCTATCTAAGCACAACCCGCACAATACCAATACGTATCACAGGAAAATAGATAGATATCAAACCATATGCCAGTCGCACTCGAATTTATGGGTTCTGATATTTTTGAAATAAAGTATGTTGCCATAGAGATACCGTACAGTGACATTATATGATCTGGATAAGTGCATGACTCCTCGAACGAAATGAATTACGAGGGAGCAGGCGAGTCTTGAGTGGTTTCTTAATTAAATATGGATAGAAAGCACATATAACATACATACATACATATTAGCCAGAAAATGCAAAATAAATTACCATATAAAAATACTTTGTGTGTCCGGTTATTTCGAAGGCGTTGAATTGAAGGATCCTTTCTTCAACAATGTATCTGAAACCGAGTAGATCAAAATGGCAGTTTAGGGCGTGGATTTAGTTCAGCAATAGCTTCAGAATAGCCTCCTGTCCACATTCTGCCGTGCGGGATAGCGGGGTGTGGCTGTTGATATCCCATCCACTAGGACGAATGTTACTTTGGGGTAGCAGGTACTGGAGCATCTCAGCATATCCCTTTTCTGCGGCGTGCGGCAGGAGTACCTGTTGGGGTCATAATCTTCATCACTCTTGTGGTCGTTCTTATTCTCGACGCCTTCAACGACTATGTCATCGTCAAGTTCATCTGCCAGGCTGCTGTGGTCAATCGTCACTAATGTCTTCTTTTCTTTGTCACTATAGAGTTATTCAATGGTAGAGGATTGACCGGGGCTTCTACCACTGTTAGATGGGCCCAGTCCAGCTTCTGTGTCGCGGGTCAGTAAAACTGATATCGTGACTGGAATCGTTTTTCCATCGATCAAGAGATCGACCGTAGCAGTTGATTGGTAAGTCATTTCGCGTTTCTTCGATAGTGCTGACGATGAGCTCCTTGGGCCTACTGACATGTAGAATGAGGAGAGTCTCTGCTGCCTCTTATTGGCGAAGCATTGCTTGAAGAACCGTGTTAGATGAGGATATGCTCATTGTCTTACAGCCACTGTCTCCATAATGCGGCCAATGTGGCTTCTGTCTCTTTGTTTATTTGGAGACATGTCATATATCTCGGTTCTTAGAGCAAGACCAACATTCCCGAGCCTGACATGCTACCCATTTATCATGGTAGTTGATGATTGCGATGTTGAACTTGTATTGTGTTAGTATTGACTAACTCTGTGGTGGAAAGTACCGTTAGATGCAGCTGTGATAATTGATTCAGAATCAAGCTGGATACTCCCGCTGCCTATAGCATCGCTAAGGTACATTCTAGCCGTCACGAGCGACTCAAGCCGTGGAGCACGGCTCGTACCACGCATCTGGCTGCAGTTCGACCATACGAGCTCTTGCCCATATGTCCGCTGTCACAGCCCCTGGGGACGGGCCCGGACGGCTGATCCCAAGCGTCTTGAGGTAGCGGCCCAAGTACCACTTGGGGCTTGGTTGGTAGCTATATCAGCCCACTCCATTCACTCCTGGAACCGGTAGATCTGCCCGTCGTGATCTCAGGATTGCCACTGTGGACAGAGCGGACGGCCGCGCTAGGGGAGAGGATAGGATCCTGTTCGGGTGGAGAACAGGGACAGACGCCGCAAGTTGCAAGCCGGAGACCCAGGGACTAGCTAGGTTAAGATTCAGAAATCCTTAACCGGTAGTTGAGTATAGATTAGGCTAGATTCATAGGGTATTATTTTCGTCACCAAAGATATCCCTTGCGACACATTCCACTTGCTCAATTCTGCTGGCCCAGTATTTCGTTTTCATAAAACATCGCTGCGCGAGTTTAAAACTGTATGATCGTTCCCCGGCATTAGTATTGAACAGGGTAAGTAATATAAACCGTTCTTCCAACAGAAAACCTTGGAGGAATAGGAAAATATTTGATCTTTGTTCGTTCAGTTGTGCTCGAGCCAATGCAGATTCGCGGCATTGGCGTACCCACCCGTGAACCGGTGCAACATATTCATAGTCCCCAGGAAGATTGTAGACCAGGATCTTGGTCATAGTTTTGAAGATCTCAGGACAGGAGAAGTAGTATGCCGCTGACAGTATCTTCATAGCCACGTCCGGGTCAAAGGGTCCGTCCGTAAGCCTGCTGGCCATCTCTGCCGTAAACCACTGCGAAAACCAATTCGACAGGAGCCGGGCTTCCCATTGCATCTCCTTGCCGGCGGCCAAGACCTCCATGATACGATCCACAGTGACATCGCGCATGTGAACTGATGCGAGGCTCTGGTGACAACACCGAAACCAAAGTTGCATCCCCCAGGGATTGCGAGTGACAATCTTAAGAGCATCGCCTGTGGGGTTTAGCGGTACCCACTGGCGTAGCTTATGAAGTCTAATCTAGGTCCCAAGAAATGCCCTTGTTGTTGAGTCTATCTTAATATTAGATTGACTCTACTATCAAATGTCGGCGTAGGAATCACGGCACCGGTTGAGGCAATAAAAACTTCCCAGGACCACAGTATTCCTCGACGGCGTGATGAACTAGACGCACATACGTGGCCTAGACCAGGTCTGAGGGCCATCCGTTACTAAAAGCCTTGTCTGTGACATCTTGTCCATGCATATAGACTTGCAGTAGTAGCAGCAGAAGCAGGTGCTAGCGCTCTGTCTAAGAAAATATCAGGTAACCGCTTCCCATTTGTGATGGATGTTTGCTAGGGCATAACTACCATTTATCCCCCAGAAAAACCTAAATAACTGACCTGGTGTCCTGCTAAGGGAACTAGAAGGGTTAATCCTCCTCGTAGATTGTGTAAAGACTGGATGCCAGACGTGGGGGTGGTCGGCTGTCTTTGACGTGTCTAAACTTCTGTTACAAGGCGTGTTCTTTCAGCCCTATTCGTGGGCAGGGTTATCTTACCAGCTTGAGCCTGCTCCCAGGCCGCTCCCTTGCTTGCAGCCACTCGAATATTGCTGGCTAGCATCGCCTTGGGTGGATATGTCGACTTGATTAATTGGGAAGGTTGTGTTTATTGACTATCTCAACATATCAAGTCAACAGTGTGATCCTTGGGTATGCGCATGTATTCCCGTGCACCTCCGGAAAACTGTCCATGTTGGTTGTCCATCTTTGGAAGAGTGTTCGACAATATGAACAGAAATCCATACGTATATCTCCGTGGATTCTAAAATCCATACAATGCCCACACCTCACTTTCTACCGACTTGGAAGCCACTTCAACTCCCCAGATGATTCGACCACATTGTACATATTCTGCTGTCTCGCTGTGAAGAGGGTACTAATCGGGATATCTGCTCGCACACGTACTCACTGGCGGAGAATCTTAATGACCAGTTCGTGTAGTTGGTTTAGATAGCCCCTTGCAAGGAGGTTCAACCCATTTGCTGATGCAAATTGCCATCTTTCAAATCTGGGCCACTCCTTCCGGAATGCAATCTCTGTCCGATTATAGGATTAGATGTTGCATGTCGATATTTATGGAAGTAGCGAGCACTGGCTTAGGGCCACGGCGTTGCTTCGGTTTCGCACGAAGGTAACCTATAACACCAGTGATGATATGCCTGATCAATGTACATCACCACCTCAATATGGGCTTCATGCAGTTAATAAATAGCGCCTGAAAGCTATTCCCGAGCAGGCTCTTGCTCCCCTCACGCCCCTGAATTAATAATTAGTTGGACACGAAGAGTGGATCGTGCAGTGTCCCATCTTAAAGAAGTTGAACTTCAACAAGGATGGAATATCTTGTAGCATTATAGTAGGAGCTGACTTGGAGCGCGATATTACCCTGTAGGCCTGCTATTTGCACCATACAGTATCCAGACTGATCTTGTAAAAGGATACATGCTTGTCCGGGATCCTGTGTGAACTGTTGGTCTGTATCTGATTGAAGTCCATGAGGGCTTTCAGAAAAGCGATATCTTCCAGGTTGTTCTCGTCAATATCAGCCCCCTGGAGAGGACATTGCTTGCTGTTGACCAAGTCATCGGCTGACGTCTACGAACGAGTGCAAAATGCTCCTATTGTGGGAAGTATTAGAAACCGAACTCTTAGCTCGAGACATAGCTTACCCGTACACAGATTAGAACTTTTGTGAGAGATGTAAGTAACTCAACATGTCCTCTGAAAGAATCCTGGGCATTTGGTGGGCTGGACCTGAAAGTCTATCGTCGTACTGTAGGGGGGGAACCACCATCAGAAATGTAGACATCGAGTTGAAGAAATCTCAATCGCATCAGTTAGTACCTCGAAGCAATAAACAATACCTGATGCGAGCACTCTGTCTTTTCTTGATTTCAAAAAATACAGCACCGATGGATCCAGTAGAAACAACGTGATGCACATTGCGGTCCTTTCTGGTGAAGTTGCTGTCTAGCAATCCTTCTGATTTATTCAACGATATCTGAATGATGCATCGTTATCAGTAGATTGAATATGATGCTGGAATAGTTCCACCCGGGTTAGGTATACTGATACCCCAGCGTCCTCAAAGCCTTCGCGACCTCTCCGAAAGCGCACCGACGGGGTCAACAAATGAAGCTATTCAGAACGGGATACTCGCAGCGTTCTCCCGGGCTCTCTTCGCAAGAGGCGAAGTATCAGTACGGCCACGCACGATCTTGCGTTGAGGCATCTGGAGCGCGGAGGCGTCAATTCGGCCATCCTGAGGGCATACAAACCAACCTTGGTAACGGCTTTTCGTTTCAAAATGTCCCACAGAAACCGAAAAACGGCTACGGGAATTCTGTGATATGTCCCATTTCAAGACTGGGGCACCTCTGAACGAGATCGTTCATGAAGATTGTCTCTTTCTGGCGGCCAAATATGGACCTGTCTGGAGGATTGTCTGCTGCGAGAAGTGGATCCGATGAGATTGGGATTAGGTCTTTTATACCCCTACAGAAAACAGGTGAATAGTCAGGACTACGTCCAGTTAATAACATGAATTTTTAATGGTTGTAGCTCCGTGAAGTATAGATCTGAATAGAATGGAATTATCAAGGTAGTGCAGAAGTCAAAATTGAATAGCCAATGTAACTGGCAGCACTGGGAAAATGTGTATCAGAAACCCATAGTTAAGCAGGGCTGGAAGCAGAATGAGCTTGTGTATACGCTTCACCAACCCATGGTGTCTATCGTCACGCCAAATACTAATTCCAGTTCCTGCTTGTATAGTGAACGATCGTGTCGAGATTGACCATTGAGTTCTATCCTGCCGGAGATATTTAGGACTGAGAAGAGACAGATCATCACTAAACCTAATCAATTTCCAACTTCACTCTATAGAGATAGATGTATGAGCTCTGTGAATATCCAGTGCTGGCAACAAGGGATTAGAAGCTACAACAAAGTGCTTTTAGTATGCAGAATATACACAGTGATGCAATCTTGGTAGTTTAATATGAGTATCTAATACACCAATAATGCTTCCCTAAAGGTCACGGTTGTTCTCAGGAACTGGAATTGCTTCGTATTGACCAAGCATTGTTCAATGCGTCATTCTGCATTAGCTCTGAAGGTGCATAACAACCAAGTAATTCATATCTAGTCAGTAATTTTAATGATTTTCGAACCACTCCCTGGACGCGTACTTCACTTTCTGGAAACAGGGTTCGGCAATACATCGAGCATAGGAGGCAACTGATGACCGGAGAGCAGCTTACCCTCACACATTCCTATGTAGAACAAACTGCACGCCGAATCGTAGACAAAGTATAGTATGTATTAATGTGAAGGAAGCATGTACCCGGTGGCGGGTTATCTTTTCAAGAAGGCTTGGTGGAGGGGAGAGCAAGCAGGAATGGAAACCTCATTCCATCCTTTCACCCGTGCTATCGTTTAGCTAGGACTGGGAATATCGAGTGTAGCCTTTCAGGCTATACGCTGCATTGAAAGGAAGTGGGTGTAACCCCCAAATGACAGCTACTCGCTTCGAAGCTTGGTGTATTTCCCTATCTGAATGGTCTCTTATTGATGCACTCAGTCTGTAAAGAGATGCTTAGACAGAAAAGCTTGAAAGTTCAACAAGCGATGGAAGGAGCAAGTTGGCCGCGCCTGTGGTAGTTCTTGTAGTAGATACAGTAGACACTAGGTCACAATATACCGAGACGAAATAAATACGTCTGAGTTCACCATGTGCGACAGCATGTTAGGACATTTTTCAATGTAAAAGGCAGCAATATCAATCTGAATCTGGAACACATGTCGTTATTCTCTTGCCTGCTATCCCCCTTCGACAATGCCTGATCACTCAGGAGTCCACAACATGAAATACTCTAACTAAGGACAATGGTAAATTATGCTGCCGCAAAAAGGGCCTTGTCATCCCCGGCGAGAGGGTGAGTAAAACGACAATTTGGGAAGGATGAACCCTCCGACCGTAAGCAGTCCAAGCAAAGGCCCACCTTTGCATCTTTGCAGTTATTCAATATTCTCGCTACCTTTCTATCATGTTCCAATGCTTTATGAGACGTGCATACACAGCCTTGCACCTTGCAAGGCTGAAGGTGGAACTTAGACAGTGTCGATACGTCCCAGCACACTTGTTTGAAGCTCTTGGCTTCGAAGGCATCGGTTCCTGGAAGCAGCCCACGCGCTTGTAGCTTCAACGTATAAAGCGATATGTACTTGGATTCGTCGGTTTTGAAGGCAGTCAGGCTATAAAGTACGCTGGTAAGTGCCTTCCTGACCATACGATGGAGTTCATATTTCTTTCTCTCAAATTCCACTGTAATAGCTCTCAGCAACAAGCTCTTTATGACGTCCAGGGAAATGGATTGCCTACCGACGATGTTGCTGTCCATGAGTGGGTGATCCGCCAACAAGATTAATTCAGAATAGGAACCCACATGATTGAAGAGAATTTCCTTTGAGATGGTAGCGAATCTCTCCGGTAAATCCATAATATACGCGAGCAACAGCAATGGACACAGCTCCGTGACAGACAGGCTTTGTAGATTTTTCAACAGCCATACCTTGACTTGGGAGATAACTGCCTTCTTGCACATATATTTGTCAACGAGCACAGCGAATCTTTCCAGAAATGTAGCAGTCGGCTTTTCCGATATCTCGTCAGTTCGGAAATGCACCATGTTACAGAACGCCAGGAGTGCTTCGGCATCGTCGTCTCCCAGGCGTATGGCCACTGGCTCCTTCGGCCCATCGACCATCGACGCACCCTCCTTGAAGAGAGGGCTGAACATAACGGAAAATACAGGGGAAGCTGTAGACAGGATCTTGGACGAGACCTGAAACGAATCATCGCCGGACTTGAGGATAATGTCGCCGATGGGATCGACCAATGTGACTGACATCCTGACGAAGAATATATTGGCATTGGAAGATTTTCGAGGCGGAAAGACCCTGCTTTACTATCTAGTCAGGTAGGTCGTGATGTCGGAGAAAGAAATGTGAATTGAATCTAGTACAGCTTAGAAAGACTCACTGAAAGGATGTAGAGTAAATTTGGATGTCCTGTAGATTTGAAGCGAGAGGAAAGGTCGACACGAGCAGAAGGATTCGGAGGGGTGGTGTTGAGCAGGTCGATGAAGACACAATACCAACCGGACATGCTCATTCCTGGACCACCGTTCAAACCCCGCTGACACAGTGTTACTCTCGGCTGCCAGCCCTAATCAGTCAGAAAAGTACAACCGTAGAAATCCCTCTCATCCCGTATATGCCTCTTGACTAGCTTCTAAGTATATGAACGCTTTGCGGGAGTCGACATGTGTCACTCAACGTTTAGGATGCCATCATTTACTGAGCTGAAAGATGAGGTATGTCGAGCCATCAAGGTCTTAATCACTTGAGTGAGCTCTTACTGCTCAGGTCGGAATACCGCCAACGAGAGCTGCGCATGGAAAAGACATGACCGACACCTATGCACTTCGACAGCCCCCAATAATCCTCACTTGTAAGATAAACCCTCAGAACACGTTTTTCAATCAAGGCCTTTCAAGCCATTGCCGTGGATAGGACGCCTGAAACAGAGATGACATATAAAAGGGGATATCAAGGATCTGTGGCATACAATGACTGGGCATTATCGGTACAGCATAGCAATATAAAACAAAAGCGACGAGAAAGAATTCTCAACTTCCGGTTCCCTTCAAACATTTGCCACCCGGACGGCTCTCAGACTATGCGTCTTGTTTAGTTCGTTTGAAGCACTCTCTTACTCTTTATGAGAACAAAAGGAAAGCCGGACACTATCTACCATCCGTTGATGATCTCAGACACGTAGAGAACCCCGGCCGAGAATGAAGTGTGGATTTCTAACATGCAAAAGTCCGTGGTGGAGTTTATTTATAAACCACCTTAGTAGCCAGGTGTTGAATTGCCGATATGTTCTTGTATCCATGACTTTCTCCATCCGGCTGTGGGGAATAGAGACAGAGAGCTATCAATGATATATGACCCAAATCAAGGCGAATTGATACGATACTCATATGCTAAACACATCATGTCATACGGCGAAGACAAACTTTACGTCGGACTATTTGAGAAGCCGGGCTCTGTGAGCATGCCCAGTGAAGAAGATCGGTAAACACTCAAAGCATATCCGAAGATGCGAGCGGGACGTTATTTACAAGATACAGGTATAACTGGGCTTTCATTATTGGGCCCCAGATAAAACCAACCCATGGTGGGATGAGGTTCCATGCTGTGGAATACGAGCCCAATATCTGGACGCAATTTTGTACGGTTGGCCAAACTGAACGACACAGTATTCGACTCAGCCCCCAGTATGCACCTATTGTATTGGTCAAAATAGCCGACATCAGGAATCGATCACGGCTCATAAACATGATTTGCGGGCGCTCAACCTGTCTTTCTATCGTATCTTGTGGCATTTGCAGGTTCAAATGCAGGTCTCATCGTTGTGATAGTCGCAGTTGGGCTCAGAGAGTACTGAAGAGGCTCAGCAATGAGCGCAGATGTCTAGGTACCCCAGCCTTGGGCTTTGCAGTAACGGACTGGCGAGAGGTGCATGGAGCCGCTATGGCATGCATTGGGAGGAAAATGGACAACGCAAGATATCAATGTCACGACAGTATGAGGCCACGGAAACCAGAAACAGCGGACTTGCTGGACAAGACCTACCTGGATATGTGAAGTGCCTTTCATCCTTCTTCTAAGTATAGACCGAACGTTGTCCCGAGGGCTACTTGCGAAGATCAAATGCTCCTCGCGGAACTGAGTAGTCTTTGGTTTGAATTTATGTCTTTTCGTCCAGTCAATTAAAATTCGTACAGGATAAGCTCTAGAGTGGTTGAATCGCCGGATTTATGATCATGTCTGGTTTAGATTCTTACGAACTCTAAGAACTTAACTTTGTGATAGTGATTGGAAGCGTTCATAGTAATTAGAAATCTCTACTTCTGATGTGATAAGACGAATGTGAAATCAACTCTCCCTTGCCCTATTATCCCAGATTATGTCAAACTCTTATAGTGCGTTACCAGTCTCGCGCAGACACAGGCTATAAATAAAGTAGGAGACTCTAACAATCAGAGGTGTGATGTCTATACACGGAGTCCCAAGCGACGACTAAACATTTATGTGGTCTGCTACCGCCAGATCAAGGATGCTAGGTAAAAGTGAATAATCACCTATTGTGGCCCGAGGTATCTCGATGATAAGATGGCACATACGGCTCACATTGAGGTGTGAATGCTGTAACAAAATCATGAAACTCCGTTATTGGAGATAAAGCACCTCCAAGTCACACACCCGGTACGAAGGACCATTGTCTCATAAACCTGAGCAATGATGTCTTTGTATTGATCCACATCCTGCATTCACGCCCTGAAACTGATTATATGCATCAAAATACCTATAAATGCGACTTTCCTTGTTACGTCTGCCTTTCTACCAAGAGAAGTGTTTATCTCTTTTGTGCAGCATTTTACCTAAATGGAGGAGTCAGTCATTATGCTTTTGGGGAGGGGGGTGGGCAAATAGAAGACATACATAGCCATGAGGACAAACTAGCAACGATAAAGATATCATATCAGGACCATGAAAATGTCGACATGGTACATGAATTGATTTGGCTCATGGCAATGAAATACCTTTCCTTTATTTCTACTTTGTATAAGTAGGTGGTCTTTGCAACAATTGGCTGTGGATTTCCATCGCCAGTGAGATCTTGGGTACATATTTCTATAACCCTGAAGCCGATCAATTAACATTGTCAGCAGACCCAGAGCAAGAGCTAAACCCCAAGTATCCCAGGGTTCCAAGGTACAATGTGTGCTTCGAAAACGCACAAGCTGTTTATAGCCACCTACCATATTTCAGATGATCCAGCAAAAGATATAAGCCAAAGGCACAGTAGCCCATCCCAACTGTTGCATGATATGCTAACCATCAGGCCTTCCATCTAAGATTCCACTGGACACTCATCATCGAAAACAGTTCCAATCTAAAAGACGTAAGGCGCTTTCATGCTTGCTGTGGGATCGGATCCACGCTGGACGAAGGCCTTACTCTTCCGAAGGATGCTCCTCGCAACGTTAAGCCAGATAACCCGATCCTGGAGCGAACGGCTACTTTCCGGTATAAAGATAAGTGTTTTAGCGTACTTGAGATTGGGGACGTTGGCAATATAAACGGGTTGTTGGATTTTCTTCGTACTTTCAACGTGGATCGCAAAGAAAGGCCATCGAGTTGTTATCATTGGCTTCGAGAAGCAATCGAATATCTTATGAAAGATAATGCTTATGATGTGGATCTTCAAGGAAAGTGGCTCGAAACGCAAGGGCTGTTGCAAAACGGCCCAAGCATGGATCATAATAGCAGGTATGATGATGGCATGAGCCTGAGTATTGAGCACGAAGTTAGTGCAAGACAAAATGACATGCGCCAGCACAACATACGCGTCGATGTAAGTGACGATGAAATCGACTCGCATGTTGTCACCCAGAATGCCACGGCTCCAGACAAGATAAGCCTTGAGGGGCTATCTCCAGACTTCATACGGAAATTCAACTTGAAGAATCATCGGATGGTTCAGAATGACGGAGGTTATGATGCCATGGACCTCGGTTTCAATGGCCAGAATACAGTGAGAGCTCGTGCTGTGAACCAGGATATCCCGCCTCAGCATAGCATGGGCTCTAACTCAACTCGGCAATATACTACAAACCAAGAGACTATGGAGACTGATAGCCAATATCAGAATCACGGAAAACACAAGGACAAGAAGCAGAGTCCGGGTTGGTGTTGTTTTTGATGAGCCAGGGGCATTAATCAGGGTGGAATGAATATGACCTGTAGAACGGAATACTGAAGTGAATTACTGTTCGGTTAGACATGCCCCCACATCTCCTAGCTTTAATTTATTTCCCTCTGCGCAAGTTTCTTCATGCGAGGTATGCTCTGTGTTACTCTCCAACAGTCCCTGTTGATATATGCTCTTGATAGACAGGTCCCATATCAACCTGGGAGTTTTAAGCGGCAAACAGGAATTGAGCCGAGTCTGACGCCAGACAGCCCACATATTTCTAGTTAAATACTATCTCATCCCTCTCAACTTGCCTTTCAGTATAGGAAAAACACCTGGGCAGTAAGCTGCAGATCCCATACTTGAACTTTCAGATAACTTCGAACGATATTTGCCCTTCCTCTTGCTGGTTTTGTTGCGCTGCCAAAGCCTCGCGCACCCCTTGATATGCATTTCGGTAGTGGGTGCCGGGAAATTGGCAATTAAAATAATTCTTAAGGCGAAACAACCTCCTATGATCCATGCACAAGTAGTCGTGCGTATATTCGCGACATAATTGGTCTCGGTTAGGGCTTTTAATATGTTCTCGCCGGACACTCCGAAGCGGGGCCAGCTAAGAGTAGCTAAGACTACTAGTTTAATCTTGTATAGACCAATCGCTCAACCACCCAATTGCACGTGTAGAAGCTTGTCTGCCTCGTGCCTTGCCTATCAGCAACACGCGAATACAGCTCTGTAAGCATGCAGCTCACTTATAAAAAGCCCACTCCGCTGGCTGTTTCTTGTGGGGGAGACACGGCTCTAATTCTTTCTCGTCATGAAGGCAACTGCTGCTTCCGTCTTGCTGGCTCTATCCAGCGCAGTCCATGGCCGCCCTACAGTGGATAATCGCTTCCCCTACAAGGGTCCCGCGGTTCCTGTAGGTGATTGGGTCGATCCCACGATCAACGGCAATGGCAAGGGTTTCAACCGACTCGTGGAGCCTCCGGCCGTCAAACCTGCATCGTCGCACCCAACGAACAATGTTAATGTGATCTCGCTGTCGTATATCCCCGACGGTATTCACATTCACTACCAGACACCCTTTGGGTTGGGACAATCACCCGCAGTGAAATGGGGCACTAGCCCGACCCGCTTGGTCAACGTTGCGCGAGGCTTTTCTCATACGTGAGCAGCTCCCAGAGTTCAATTGAGACATGGTTGTATACTGACAGATCTTAGCTATGATCGTACACCGTCCTGCTCGCAGGTGAAGGCTGTCACGCAGTGCAGTCAGTTCTTCCACGAGGTTTCTCTGCCTCATCTTGAGTCTGGCAAGACCTACTACTACCAGATCCCCGCCGCCAATGGCACAACGGAGTCTGAGGTCTTGAGTTTTACGACCGCCCGAAAGGCTGGTGACCCTACCGAATTCTCGGTGGCCGTTTTGAATGATATGGGCTACACCAACGCGCAGGGTACACACAAGTATCTCACCAAGGCTGCCAGCGAGGCCGCCTTTGCGTGGCACGGTGGTGATATCAGTTACGCAGATGATTGGTCTTCTGGTATCATGGCCTGTGAGGATTCCTGGCCGGTCTGCTACAACGGCTCCAGCAGCTCGCTTCCCGGTGGTGTGATCACCTCGGAGTACAAGAAGCCCCTTCCTAAGGGAGAAATTCCTAACCAAGGTGGTCCCCAGGGAGGTGACATGAGTGTCATTTACGAGTCCAACTGGGATCTCTGGCAGCAGTGGATGGGCAACATCACGAAGAAGATTCCTTACATGGTTCTTCCTGGTAATCACGAGGCTGCTTGTGCTGAATTTGATGGTCCCCACAACGTCCTCTCGGCCTATCTGGATCACAACGAGCCAAACAGCACCTGGACCAAGAATGACCTCAACTACTATAGCTGCCCTCCTTCCCAGCGGTAAGTCCGAATCACCCCACTACCGATCTCTTTTCCAACACTGATCTATTTTCCCAGAAACTTCACAGCTTTCCAGCACCGCTTCCGCATGCCCGGCTCTGAGAGCGGCGGTGTAACCAACTTCTGGTACTCATTCGACTATGGCCTCGCCCACTTCGTCTCCATGGACGGGGAAACCGACTACGCCAACAGCCCTGAGTGGTCCTTCGCCAGGGATCTCACCGGCAATGAGACCTCCCCCGCTGAGTCTGAGACATTCGTCACAGACAGCGGCCCCTTCGGAGCTGTCGACGGCAGCGTCAAGGACACAAAGGCCTATGAGCAGTACAAGTGGTTGAAGAAGGACCTCTCCCGCGTAGACCGCACCAAGACTCCCTGGGTAATTGTCATGAGCCACCGCCCCATGTATAGCTCTGCGTACTCGTCCTATCAGAAGAACATCCGGGAGGCATTTGAGGCGCTCTTGCTTGAGCATGGCGTTGATGCTTACCTCTCCGGCCATATCCACTGGTATGAGCGCTTGTGGCCGCTTGGTGCGAACGGCACTATCGATACTGCTTCCGTGCTAAACAAGAATACTTACCGGGTCAACCCTGGCAAGTCCATGACTCATATTGTTAATGGTATGGCGGGTAATATTGAGAGTCATAGTGAGTTTAGTGAAGGCCAGGGCCTCACAAATATCACTGCGGTCCTGAATACCAAGGAGTATGGTTTCAGTAAGCTTACTGTTGCTAATGCTACTGCTCTGAAGTGGGAGTACGTTAAGGGCAGCGATGGTTCTGCTGGAGATACACTTTGGTTGGTTAAGCCTGAGGCTGCTGGTTTCCACCGTCATGGAAAGAGCCCTGTTGGGAAGAAGCCTCGTTATTAAATGGCCTCGGGTATTACCCGTATCTCAATCTTTCTGTGTACATAACTTGGTCCGGGTTCTGCGATGGGGACCAGTACCGGTAGAGGGATGTAATATAGTGAAATAGCAGTGAAAATGAAAGCCAAGAACCGTCAAGAATCTCAGCCAATCTCGATTTGCCTTTCCGCTTCCCTTCATGGTTTGATAATTCGATTACTCCTGACCACAGGCAAGCGGAAGCGCCCTGGTTCCAGTGGCTGCAGCTCCTCTCCCTTAGTGTTTCATAGGGTCCGTATAATATGTAATTAAATGTATTATGCTTCGAGGGATTAAATCACACTTTTCTCATTATAGTTTCCAGTATTGTTCAATTTAACGAATGGTATGCGCCTTCCATATCACTTAGATCTAAATGACCGATGGCAGGCTTCCCAACCATAGTTCACAAGGCGGTGGTGTTAATAAACTCACCAGGGAATTCATGTCGATCAGTCTGTTTCATCACACCATGATCATAGAGGGTCGGCATTCCGCGAAGTGGCTCCAAAAGGTGAAGAGCACCGATCTCAGCTCAAAAGATCCTCTTTCCCCACTCTATGTTGTGGGCGTATGGTTCAGACTCTATAACCATATTGATTGCGAGCGTAAGTGTATTCCTGAACCTACGTCCAAAGGACCCCCAGTTCCCTGGGTTTATTAAGTTTCACTGAATCCGGAGCTTGATCACAGCTGCCATGCTATCTCTCTGCTTCGCGTGGGCGGGGAGGTTCGGGAATTGAGAAGACTCTTGATGTGAATATCTTTGGTAAAGCAAAATAAGACGGAACTTTCTTCATTTAGGGTCCATCCTAACTTCACGGGTACGGTGATACTAGTATTGAACAAATATAAGAGACTGATAAAACGTCATATCGTTAACAGTTACTGTTCGCTTCACAGTGGGAGGAATAGGGCAGTACTGGGCACGAGATTATCATCTTTCACAATTTATAATGAGAAAAGGGAGCTTTTGGTAGATCTGGAATTATCGTTCAATTGACTACTATATTTGTGAATACTGGCTGTTGAAGACTATATCTTCGGCGTTAGATCCACTCTCTGACACAGAAAGGTCCTCCTCTGGCCTAAATATACCGTACACACTGGACAGAACACGTCAAACCAACTACCAGGGCGTCATATTCAACCAGGTAGATAATATGCTAATCAGGCAAAACTTAACCCTGAAGGCACAGCATCAGTAAACTAATTCAGTCCATCGACCTACGCTTGGCAAACCTACAATATTGAATGTCACATGTGGGAAACAACGTCTCAGCTTCCGGAAAGGCCCCTTCAGGATCATAAAGCATGGCCTAGGAGGTGTTCTGAAGCTCTATACCTTGACTGACGTGGATCCTGGGACTCAACTCTGCAATCTATTGATGATAGAGTTATAAGTAATTAGATTTGGGACAATTTGGACCAATCTGGACAGGAAGGTTTCATCGAACAGATTCTGCTGTGACACATTATGACATGGGCCTGTGATGATTGGGAATATCCAGCGCAGACCGCAACTAAGCTCAAAACCTTTACCTGGGAGAAGGAAGTCCATCTTAGACTGCTTGAGAAGCCAAGGGAAGGGGGAGAGATATCGAGCTCGAGCTTGGCTCTCACGACAATTTCACGAGACATTCCATCACTCTTGCAGTTCAACTTCTTTTGAATGGGGCATCTTTCCGACCCGTTTTCCGTGTCCAAGCGACGATTAGTTCAGGTGTGAAAGGGAATTGAGAGCACTGCTCAGTGATGTCTCTCAGACGCCGCAAGAGTCCGTATGAAAGTGGGGGTTTACATCTATCGAATTGAGAGAACTGGAGAACGACATGAATATACTCTTAGTTGGAAGTGATGGAGCGATCGAACGAGTTTTGATGATTAACTAGAGAACCCAACGATACCAGCACTAGAGGCATGCATCCTCTTCGTGCGAAACCGAAGTCTCTCCCGGAAACTTTGGACAGCTGTTTGGAATACCATGAACAGAAAGGAGGCGAATCTTGCGAGTGATCAATTTAACCAAGCCTGGGCTAAATCTGGCAGTCATGAACTCGGACTGATAGACCTGAAGAGGTATCCTCGGGCGAAGGTTCGGCCAGAGAGATCCACTTCCCATGTCATGTGGCATTGGATCGTACTGTATCTAAATAGTAAATACATACATACTGACGTGTTGGTGGGTCATGCATGTCTACATAAGACATGCACTGAGAGGGCTCTGAATTGGACACATGATTTCGACTCAGCAGGCAATGCTCGAATGAACCGAACCCCATTTGGCTCTCCGTTCCTTCTCAGAGGACCGGATAATCGAATACATATTGGGGTGTATAGGGATTACTATGTACTGATGGGATCGACACTAGCCGCGAACCATGGATGGCTCCTAACAATACATACATGAATCCATTGTCCAATACCCAATACCCAATACGGTACAATACAAAGCCCCTTTGTTGCAATATTAAGCAAAGGAGCGTTGTTCTATTATTGGCTCATTGAAGCACCCTTTATCGGTTCTAAAATTGGCGTTTGCCCCTTGGACAGAACCAAGGATTGGAACGCGTGGGAGTCTCCTGTCAACTCCACTGGAAAAACCTCCGTCCAACAGTGTCAAGCACTGGAAGTACATACCGTTCTGGCAGGGATTGTCAGTCCCCCTTGCGTTGGACGTTACAGACGTAATTTGCAATACGACAGGGAGAGCAGACGTGTTGCTCTAGGCAGCACTTTTTCTCATCCCCAACCATCAGCCCTACGAGGCGACGGCCCACTTGGACTCGGCTTTCTCGGTACCAAATGCACCAATAACACTATTATTGTTCTGTTCCACTTTCTCCCCATGGAGGATATCAAGAATTCATTATTCATTACCAACGACTAATCATAACTAAACCGCCCGACTCAGCTGCCACCACCACGTCATCATCTTGGCCAAGAATTTCTCACCTAGAAAGTGGAACGGAAGCGGTAAAGGCCGATGGAAAGCCCATCCCAGCCCCTCGCGAATTTGCTTCTCCACTGCCCTCCGCCAGTCGATGTGATGCGCAAAGTGAAAAGGAAAATGATGTTGACTCACGGTCCGGATGGTACAGTCGATATGTGGATGATCCTGTAGCTCAATCTGCGGCTGTAGAATATGTGGCTCCAGACTCTCCAGGTCAATTTCTAACCGTACTATCCCCGTTCCTGTAACCTGTCTCACATGCACTACGAGATCATGGTTCTTGCGGTCTGGCTTTTCATGCACGATGGCCAGGTCGATGAGCGGCTCATCAGTGTGTACAAGGTCTAGCAGATGCATTCTCTGGTCCTCCGGTGGACGGAGATCGATGCGAAAGTGTCCTTCGAAGATCAAATTGCGCGACTGAGGCTTGGGGTAGGTCATCACTTTGGTAAACCGCAGCGGCTGCTCCACTACAGCCAGGGAGTGGATGACCAGTTTCTGAGGGGACGAATCTTCGCTGCGTTGGGCCAGTCCGGCGTTGACATATTGAACGATCCGTTTGCAGATCTGGCGTTGGTAGAGGTGCCATGCTCGTCCTAAGGCATAATTTATCCATTCTACGCTTTCACCACGCTGTAGAACCTTTTGTGAATGGTATCGACGGAGCTCATCTCGAATGGCGCGTTCGATTCGTCGGATGGATACTTGGTAGTGCGTGCGGCATACGGCTAGAATGATGAGTAGCCAAATGAAGCGGAAGTTTAGTCGACAGAGTGTCCAAGATGCTAGACAGCCGACGATAATCAACTTCGATTCTTTGTACGTTTGTTCGATGAAGTCAAGGGTTTCGTTGAGGGTCGGGGCCCTTTGCTTGGTTTGGGGGTTGTGTTTGCCCATGGTTACATAGCAGATGTATATTTTATAGTGTTGTTGATGGTGAAATCAACGGTGTGTGAAAAAAGATATGAGATGAAAACGACTGTGATCCATGGCCGGGGGCCAAGCTGTAGCCATAATTCCTAGACGCAGAGAGGAGAGAAGGAGAGAAAAGGCGGTGCTGAAGGCTTAATATACGCACGTCCATCATGCATGAACAGTACATCGGCATTCCAATTAGGCAATCATCGTGGTATATTACCGATACATACATACAGCTGGCCGTATTTGCAGAAAAGGGCGTGTAGAAATTGGATTTGGGGCCAACTCTCCCCATGACCCCACCTGACTAGTCCGCCTTATTTGTTGTCCTCGATGATCGCTCGTCTTGCTTCACCTTCCTTTTACCGATCATTCGCATTCTCTTTACGCCCACTTTCCAAGTAAAGCCATGATCCCCGCTCCCAACAGCATGCATCCCACCATGACAAATAAATGCGATCTCCTCTTGGTCCGGTCGGGATCAAACAAAAAGTCTCTCGCCAATAATTCCACCAGTCCACTATAAATCAAAATCCCTGCGGATATCGCATCTAGCACACCCTGCACGATCATCGCCGTCTTGGATCCTGGGTTGTACGACGTCCGCACCCCAAGTCCAATAGCAATCGAAATGGGCGTCGTTAGGCCATACAAAAGACACAGCACCCATGGCAACCACCGACGGGAGCCAAAATGGAGCGCTGACATACGCGCACCAATTCCCAGGCCTTCAAAAGCTTGATGAAAGACCAACACGGGATACAGAGTCGTGAACTCTTCGCCGGTCACGCCCAGGTTCAGACCGATTATAACGGAGTGGAATATGATGCCGAACTCGAGGATCAGGAAGGCTGCAATTTCTTGTCGGAATGCCCGCTCGGAACGTACCGAGGCCACTTCCGTGTGAATGTCGGTGTTTTTGCGGGTGGGTGTACCAGACTCCACGGCGTGGGATGTACTGTCTGAATCCGACGCGCAGGAGTGTGTGATGAAGGCCTCTGTGGCGTCGTCATTGCGTTGGACCCCGTATTTATACTCTACGTATACCTCAGCGCCTAGATCTAGGAGGAATATGGTTACGACGGAGGCGAGAACGATGGCGGCACACCAGGAGTAGTCTCCCCAGTGCCCGGACACTCCGATACATGAGTTCGGCCCGATGCTGCTGTATGCGGGATCCAGTAGGTGGATGAACGCTGTAGCCACTATGACGCCTGTGCCGAAATATCGGGCGAAGAGGTAAACTTGATAGGGGATCTTCAACCCTGGAGCTCGTTTGGCAATCACAGGGAACAAGGTGAAAACGGTTGACGTGATGAAGATAACGAATATGGAAGATATGCGGGCGCCGAGGTGGCCGTTGTAGTCGTTTTCGGACAGCGCCAGATAGCAGAGGACGTCCGCCTGGCTAGCTATGTCAAGGTCAACATTGTGAGCATCGAATGAAGACATGATAGTCGCGACAAAAGGGCGAATGTTGAACCCAAAGAGCATTGTCTTTCGCTCACCGTATTATACATCACGCATGAGTACCTTGGAGCTTATGTACATCATGTGCCTTGCAAGGTCCTTGGTGGTTTGACAACCCAGAGACTACCGTCACCTTCTGGACTGAGACCAAGGTACACGGCCAACAGACTTTTGTAGGTGATGTGGTAATTGATCGAAGTAAGCCCTCGCGAAGGACTGCAAGCCGTCTTGCCCTTCGACGATGTACCCGTACTTGTGACTTCTCGGATGAGATTGCATACAGCCCATGAAGGAACTTTCTCATGAAAGATTTGATGACAATGAATGCAAATGACTTGTACTATTAACAAGTCGTTCAGGTAGTACCCAAGGCTGCGTCAAGCTTTTTGACCGGGCTAAATGGCATGCGAGGTCGGTATATACTAACTATGTTTACCTAGTGGGGACAGTGGAGACCTTTCGGTGTTGTATTTCAGGCGGAGGACCCTTGTACTAGTACTAGTACTGAGTACCCTTGTGTCGACCGACCATTCATCCCTCTAGAGAGCTTTGAGTCGTGAGGCTTCTGCATATTTCAGTGAAGTATTATTGTCACTTCTTATTTTTCTTGTCCTCCTTCGATCATGACCTGGAGGGGCCAATCTTATCAAGGATCACTTCCAGCCAAGTGTTCTCTATACCTTCCGGATGTCCTATGCTGCATGTTCTCACTCGGCCAAAGTCCACACCAACACTATAAAATATGTCATTCGTTACTCAATGAAGGCAGAAGGTGTACCAGTGCCGCGACAAGGATATGCGTCACTTAAAAGACCTCGAGCCTTGAATAACAATGACTAGGACGCTTGGTAAATGGCTAGATCCTTCAGAACCTTCCACAAAATTCCTTCATTTGGTGATCTCTACCCCAAAGTCATGAGAAATCAATTTTAGGGACACTCATATTAAGCGATCGGCATAGGATCCCGTCGTTATCCACCTTATATCCACCACATACCGTTAAGAGATTGAGTCTCGCTAGGTGCTCTTCATACGTGATGCTATCTACCACATTTTTCTCACCCTGGCAATGCCTACCGACATTTAACCAAGGCTAGAATTGCAAGCTCCAATTAAGAAAAACTCCTCGCATCACCCTCGTTGAGCGAAGGTTTAATCTCTTTTTCGCGATCACATCCGTTGGTTGGTGGCTTAACTTGCAAAGCACAGCTGCGAAGTAATTATGATCGCTGCCAATTCATCCATAACAATACGCCATACCCATTGTGCACTCTCGGGTCGTGAGGGATTGATTGATCGTTCCGGAAGTTAGACAGTGAATCTCAGACATTTAAAGATCGGCAATGCATAGCCACCATGAAAAGGATATGTACGGAATATGATTACTCAGTATACGGACGACAGTCACAGCCAAAGGGAATGTTCAGAGAGACCAGGTGTACTCCGTACGAAGTATCAACTGAGTAGCCACCGGCTAATTGGGGTCCAGTGCGGGCGGACCAACTGCTATTCTAACTACTCGCCCTGACGATCTTCCACTTTTCTCCACCAACAAAATCCCAATGAGGAAATCATAGGCAGTCCCTGGTTTGGGACAACAACCATGCTATCCCTCATCTCTGGTGATATCAGATGGTCTAAGATACCCTTTTCTTGCGCTTCGACCTCGTTTGCTATCTGCAGTCCACGAATAACTGTGCGTCCGAATATACGAAGCACCTTGAAATATCAGGTAGCACTGCCGACAGGAACACAGCATAAGTGATCGACCGGGAAAACTGCGGTATAAGGAAGCCTTTCTCTTAGTATGCCAGCCGGGTCCAGTTTCACCATGCAACCCGCTCCATCAATCTCTAACAGGCTCCGCATTGTGGTTGAAGGATGCTGTAATTCTGCACAATTGGTGGAGGAATATTCTCGGCGATATGAGTAGTCGTCATTGTACTGTTGCAACATGATCAGGCAGCATATAAAACCACAATCATATCCACAGCTGTGCAGAGATCGGTACTCTATACTCCCTTTCCATTTTGTCAATCCATCCATCATATCAAAAACTGCTGGTTCAGTTGGCTTCTGTCATTTTGGTATTGAGTCCGTTTTCCGTTGGCCATAACTCCCTTGCAAAAATGGTCCTCCTCCGTCCTCTCTTGACGGCAGCTGCCCTGCTGGGTGCATCTGCCCAAGCCCAAAGTGTTGTCGGCACTCCGTTTGGCTTCGCCAGCGGGACTACCGGCGGTGGTAACGCCGCTCCTGCGGCGCCCAAGGACCCTAGTGAGCTCAAGGAATGGCTGGCCGACCCTACCCCCCGAGTGATCGTGATCGACAAGGAGTTCAACTTCGTCGGTAGCGAGGACACTTGTACCGACTGCGAGTGCTGTATCCCGGAGTCGAACACTTGCGGCGATGCTGGCCAGAATGCAATCAAAACCAAGGGTTCTGACTGGTGCGGTTCCTACCCTGCCACGAAGTGCACATACGATAATGCCGGCCTTCAAGGCATGGAGGTTGCCTCTGACAAGACCATCATCGGTGTCGGCGACGCCGGTGTGATCCGTGGTAAGGGGCTGAGGCTGGTCAATGGCGTCAGCAACATAATCATCCAGAACATTCACATCACCGAGCTGAACCCCCAGTACATCTGGGGTGGTGATGCTATTTCGCTGGACGGCACGGACAAGGTTTGGGTCGACCATGTCAAGGTATCCTTGGTTGGCCGCCAGATGTTTGTAACTGGCTACGAGTCTAGTATGTATCGCGGACGGCGGAATTACGTTGGTCGGACAAAAGCTTACTAAACCAACAGGTGGTGGTGTCACTGTTTCCAACAGTGAGTTTGACGGTCAGACTAAGTGGTCTTCCTCGTGCGATGGACACCACTACTGGTCTGTGTAAGTGACTATACCCCTAATGCTGAACCGCCACAACGGACACTGATTACCTGCAGCCTCGGCTATGGCAAGGGCGACCAAATTACTTTTGCTAACAACTACCTGCATCACACGTCTGGCCGTTCTCCTAAGATCGAGTTCGACAGCCACTGGCACGCATATAACAACCTCTGGGAGAACAACAGCGGCCACGCCTTCGACGTCGGTGAGGGAGCTAATGTGCTTATTGAGGGCAACGTTTTCTCCAATGTCAAGACTCCTATGAACCCCGAAAATAAGCCCGGCTCCACCTTTGCTGCGACCGCTCAGGACGCGTCTTCCTGCACCTCTGCGCTTGGCCGTCCTTGCATCGCTAATGAGCTGACCAGTTCCGGCGAACTGTCCGGCAATGACGAAGCGGTTCTCTCCGGCTGGCCCAAGGGTGAAGGCGATTCTAAGGCTATGACCACGGATAAGGTGCCTTCATATGTCAAGGCCAACGCGGGCGTCGGCAAGTTGGGTGCTGGCGCTGCTTCCAGCAGCGCAGGCGCTACTCCTTCCCCTACCTCTAGCGCGGTCCCATCTTCCAGTGCAACCCCATCCTCGTCGGCTTACGTTAGGCGCCATCACGCCCGGCGTCACCATCACTAGGTCATAAGATCTCATCTTATGTCCTAAGGGCGTCTCCAAAGCATCCTCTCAACATACTCATTAACGCATCAAGCGGTCTCCAAGTATCCGAAGGGATATGGTGATCGCGTCGATGCCTGTCTTGGTAGATCGCTCCGTCTGTAGCGCTGCAAGGGCTGCCGGCCAACGTGTCCTATTATTATTGGGAAAGCTAGAGGTCCATCGGCATCGCGGATCGATGTCTGTATTTGTCATTCCTTGTAACTTAGATTTATTGATTTAATCCAAACAGTACAGTTTAGAGACCTGAGTGCTCTAAGCTGCGTGAGAATTCTAGTCCACTGTGCAGTCAGATCGCACTATATAATTTGCGGTTTGCTTCAAACATTCATGTCTGGTGGTTGTTCATTCGTGGTGCGAGGGATAAAACAGCTACTTTATACGGCTTGTCGCCCGTTGAACGGGCAGGTGACTTTCCGTCTCCAACCCAACCCCCCTGGATCCCTGGACGTGCAGAACACTATTTGTGGGGCGACAGGGGAGCTGCTTTGTCTAAAACGAACATTTTTTATTGTATGTAATGCAACCCATTCTTCGGGATCTGCAGTGCGATACCTGCAGACCCCCCAGCCTGGTGATACCTCACCAGGACTGGTTGTCATTGTTGACAATGGCTTATCGCAAGGTATCCTTGCGCTGACAACGCTGGCGACCAGGTCGCCATCTGCCAGTTGATGTCAGATGACCTCTGCTTGGTGCCCCGCTGAAACGGTTGCACCATTCCATGTGTACCGCATTTCCGTTGCTGTTGTCATCCGCAAGGAGACATACTTCGGCCGCAGTTATTTTATCGAGGGAAGGGGGTTTCACTGCATGCCAGTTGAAACAGCGTGCTGGGACGGTGATAAGCTTTCGGGATGATTACGCTGCAGGACAGGACAGCCCTGCTCAGATGGACGGGTGAATCGCCCCATGAGCCCACGTTCTGATCTATTCGACTTCCAAGGTGAACGCTGCCGTATCGCTCTTGGGATGGGTCGCATGTACTCCCTCCCGACTGCGCAGTATACTCCAAATAGTGCCCCCCGACCGAGGTGGAGGATTGGAAAAGGCCAAGCTTTAAGACCGCCTTTGGGGACGATCGCCAACGGATAAACGAGCTAAAACGCCGATCGCCTGCAAGTCGCTCAAAGGCCTAACCCTCGAGGATGCCAGACCCTTCGTTCCCCCTAATAATGCAGAGGATTATTGGGGACCTTTACTGAACATGGAACGACACGGGAAACCGTGATGGACACCGGTATCCAATAGCGTGCAGACCTGAACACATTTTACGTGATTCTTGCACCAATGATTTGCCTGCAGATACGAGTCCCATTTTCTTTTTTTTTCTCTTTCCTGACATGTCACCAGCGCCGGAAGCGCATACATTTTGGAGTCCACCAACGATCGATCCACCCCGTTTGCCACAGACTCAGACCCCTGCAACGAACCATTGCCTGAGGAAGGCGGTCCCATGGTCGTGAGGAATTGGTTGAGATTATGTGAAATTCTTCGCACCTGGTGGAAGACTCACTCGGAACACATACATAAGATAGGCTTCCGGTGTACCATGGATCCTCGACCGCTTCAAGCAACAGGAGCGCAGGATTGTGGACTTGGCTTTGTCTTGCCTGTCAGGTCTAGTCGTCATTTGCGGTATTGATTCTCCAATAATCCTGCCAGGTCCACAAGTGACCGTGCATGAAGGAAGCCAACTAGCGTGCGACCGAAAGGCAGAGTTTACGCCCCCATCTCTTGGTGACTTGCCCCAATCGCCGTTCCGCTGCTTTCCACGCCATAATTACTTGGGCGGCAGCTCGGTCCTTCGAAGAGAGCGTCTTTCCACCGAACAAAGCCTTCCGAATCATAGCAATCCCAATACCATGAGCAGTGAGCATGGCGACCGGCAGAGCAATGATCAACCCAACCCAACTCTGACAGCTAAGCTGGGCGCGCGAAAGAAGATCCGCCCCACTTATTCATGCTTAAACTGCCACAAACGCAAAGTCAAGGTAATTTCCACACCTTGTCCGGGTTCTGGGTGGCTTCGCTGGGTGGCCGTTAAGGCCGTTGCGAGTCAAGTGCAGCGTCCTATTGGGCTGAGACTGATTCTCTGACCTTTCGACTAATAAGATCTCATTGATGCGGTAGTGCGACCGGGTGAAACCATGCGGCGCTTGCTGTCTTCGGGGAACGCCCTCGGAATGCGAATATGGCACCAGCAAAAAGGACCGACACTATATCGAACAATCGGCCCTGATCGAGAACCTGATGCAGACATGCGAGAGCCTCAAGCGGCAGCTCGCAGAGGCCCGCCAATTGGCCAACCTGCCCCCCGTAAAAGCTGAAGAAACCGGCAGTAGCTCTTTATATCAAATTAAACCCAATGACAGCGACGATGAAGGACCCGGTGACCCGGCAGCGCATCCTGGACCGGCACGGCGAGATTCTCCCGACCCTTCAGGGGTGAGTACAGGGGATAGTTCTGGGTCGCAGAGAGAATGTATGTACCCTTGGTCTGAATCATGTCCGTAATTTTGACCGCCACGGCTTGACCCTAATTGGTCCTATATCGATATCCGTATTAATGCTACTCTATATAAAGCTTCCCCTACGTCACTATCGCGCCAAAAGGCGATCTTAAGCGATCCGACCCTTGCCTCCACCGTGATGGAATTGTTTGTCGACCGACTGATCCGTAATTTCAGCCCCGACGACCATCGGAAATACGGCGGCACCATCGCATTACGGGAAGCATCGGAGATGCGTATGATTTCACCCATGCTGTGCAACGCCTTTGAGGCGACCGCGCTTACCTTTGCCGGTCGGCGCGACGGGAACCGGTCAGTCGAGCTAGCGGGTCATGCCAAATATGTCCGAACGCTTCGGCAACTGCAAGCTGCCCTGTATGACACCGAGGGGAACAAATCTACCGAGGTCCTCGTAGTTGTATTGTTGTCGACGATCACAGAGGTCAGTTACGGGTCTTGTGTCGAGTTACGGCACTGCCGGGTTCCATGTACTCATGTCTTTTCAGGCCTTCAAACAAACGTCGAAAGACTCCATATTTAGACACCAGCTCGGCGGCTTAGAGCTGCTACGTACGCGGTCAGCGTATCGACATCGCTTCGGAATTGAGCGGTCTTTGTTCGTCGATCTTCGGCTGTACTGGGTATGACGGCAGATCTTGCACCTGTTGCTAGAGACTAATATTGGGCATCCAGGTCACGGCGGCACTGGTTCATCGCAAACCGAGTTTCCTGGCGTCTAAAGATTGGCTGACTGTTCCCTGGGCCGGCGATGCACCGGTTAAGGATATCCTGCAGCATCTCCTGGACATTGCCGTAGATATCCCCGGTTATCTTTCCCGGATCGATGAATTCAGTGCCATGGTAGACAGGGCAGCCGTATGCACGTTTGAGCTCACCGGGATGCAGAGCTCCATCTGGCAGCAAGCAACCGAGCTTCAGGCGCGCCTCAATCTGTGGAAAGCCGCCTACGCCGACATGTATCCGGCGGGCATCGCATGGGAAGTGTACGACACCGAGTCCGCCGACGGCTTTCCGATCTTCCGGTGTCGCAACACCAGCACCATGTCGGTCACGGTCGTCAAGGTGCTGCACTACCCCGACATCCTCCTGGCGACCTCGATGTGTTTCTACTGGGCGTTGTCGCTCGTCGTCTCCACGTCGGACAGCGGGCTGGTCAGCGTGCTCGGCCCGCAACAGCGGTACCAATTTGCATGCGACATCTGCCGCAGCATGAAATACTACATCAACAACATCCCGGGCTATCTGATGTCGCGGATCATGTTCGTCCTGCGCACGGCGTTCGACGCGTTCTCGCCGGGGATGATCGAAAAGGAATTCATCGCGGAGTTATTCCAGTACATCGGGCGCAAGTTGGAGTTTCCGGTCTTTTCAAACAAGTGCGCGTCGTCGGCAGTTAAGAGCGAATCTACATGACATCGGCTTTTTTCCCCCCGAGTTACGGTCTTTATGAATAACGAAATGTTTCAATCTCAGGTGGTGCATGTAGGTGCAAACGGTTACGGTGTTTCGGAGAGTAACACATGTCAATTCCATAGTATATTATCTATACCATATTATGACTATAGCATCGGCTATACTATACAATCAAGTTCAATATACAAGACACCAATGAATCGTGATGTCCAGTTCGGGCCGCGTCCGGAGTAAAAAATCCGACGGAGATATCACCGAGGCGGGGCCTCGGCTGCAGTCCCTTCTCTCAAGAGGCAGCACGGTACATCATGGATCCATCCAGAAAAATCCCCCAAAGGGGATCCATCCATAGCCATCCTTACAGAGACGACGCGATCGCATTGAATCTTCTAGATTCAATCTATACGGAGTACCAGAGTAGAGTGAGATCGATACTCTCGGCCCAAGCTCCGAGCATCGCACCACTTCACCCGACATTAATATCCGTCGCGTCCGTAGCCGCCGTAGCGTCGGTCAACCAACGCATCACGCCCTCTCGTCATAGCTAGCAGCCAGCAAGCAGCTAGCTAGCTAGTTAGCGGGCGGTGCAGGTGCCAGGTGCATAACACCAGTAAGTTGTAACCCAGCCCGACACGGCAAATTAACCCCCCCCCCCCTCCCCTCCCCGCAGTGGTAGTAGGTCCAGTAATATATAGTAAACCGTAAATAGTACGGAGTATGTATGGCATGATCGAATTTGCCGAGAATTCACCCATCAACGCTCACAAACGCCTCGCCCCAACCCCCCGCTGCCAACGGATCCGGACAAATCGTGAATCCGCCGGACGGGTCCACGGGCAACCAGTTGGAGGTGAAGCGCGTGCTGCCGTCGGGCATTTCTAGGGGTGTGAAAATATCGTGCTCTGCTTCTGCTTCTGGTTGTGGTTGTGGTTGCGATTCTTGGTACGGAGACGGTTGAGACGGCGGAGATGGAGAACGTGCATCCACGGCAGAACGTCGGCGTTTCGGGTTCTGATGGTGTCCACTACCAGTACTAGTAGTGGTAGAAGGGTAGAAGACAGGGTCCTCGGGTAAAACGCCGAGCGAGAACTCTTCCCCGTCGTCTCCGCTTGGTTCTGGGTAATTGTATGTGTATGTGTGGTGGTGATGGTGGAGCCCTTTGCGCTTTTTTAGATTGGGGGAGTTGTGGTAGTCCGTGTTGAATGTGTAGGTGGGTGTGTAGCTGTGCGAGGGCGGCGTGCGCGGTCCGAAGGATATGCTCTCGGTGTCGCTGGAGATTGTGTCGGGAGGGGTTGTGGGTGAGCTGGGAGGGTAGATTGCGCTGTTATTGTTGTGGTGGTGGTGGTGGTGGGGGGGACTGGGCCTTCTTTCGGAGTGGTTGGTGTTGCGGTTGGTGTTGTGGGTGTGGGCGTGGTCATGTACAGGGCTCGCTGGGTGGCTTGGTAGGAGGTTGAGCGGAGGAGCGTGCTTAATGCTGTTGCTGCTGTTGTTGGGTTGGGTTCTTGTGTTTGACTGCTTTTCTTTGTTAGTTATCTCTTACTTTTGGTATGTATGTATATAGCTGGGTATAGAGTAGAATTGAACCCAGGAAACAGTTCCATACTCTATACACTCATCCCCATTCCAACAAGAAAAGCGAAATAAAATTAAAATAAATAAAAAAAAAGTAGAGCATACCTCACTTCCCCCTCCCATCCCAGCTCCACCAAATCCACCGGATAATTAAACCCAAAGTCAGTCGGCACGGGGAATTCTCCCGCCGGTTTTCCCGCCATGTCCAGGTCCAGGTCCCAGTGCGGCGCATGCTCGAGCATTCCCGTGGCGAACACGTCACTGAGCGAGAAATCGAGGTCGTCGTGGTCTGGGAATGGGATGTCGGAGGTGTAGGGGACTGTTGTGAAGAGGGTGTGGTCGTGGGGTGTCATTTTGTTTGTAGTTTTGCAGCTTTGCAGCTTTCCTTCTGGAACTTTTGAGGTACGAGTCGGTCTGAGTGTAGAATCACTGAGTAGAATCAGAGTGAATGAGCTGATTCAGAAATATCGATTCATCGTAGATATAGACAGCTAGGTTGGTGTGCGATGCGATGCGATAGCTAGCAACAATGCAGCTTCAACTCCAAGATATAGATATAGCTGTAGATAATGGTATAGGTATAGGTATACAACCAACAAATCCAATCAATCAATCAATCAATAAATGAATCAACCAAACCCCAGTCCGAGTCCGGGGGACCTGCCACACTTATATTATACTCCATCCCATCCCCAGATCAACCCATGCCCATGCCCAAACCGAATTCCAATAAAATCAAACGAGTTATAGACCCATCGGCAAAATACAAAACCCCAACCTTGTCCCCGAGCTCGAACCCCCATAGTTACTACCGTTTAAATTCGAGTAACCTCAGAAAAAAAAGAAACCAAAAAAACCATGCCGATCACCTGGCCACATGGTTATGTCACCGTCCGAGTCCAGGTCCTGAAACGGTGACTAAATTTCCCCGGAGCTTTGCAATTTAACCGACATTTTGAGTTTGCGTTTTGGGTTTGATTAGTTCTTTTTCTTTTCCCCGGATTTTTCATCGTGTTCCTGGGTCGGTTGGTCGGTTATTAGGGCGTGTGTGGTGTGGTATTAACCGAGCATCGAGGCCGAGTGTTGACCTTTGATGATGTCGGGCCGGGGTTGCGGAGTCTGGGGTAACTTTCAGGACCTACTTTATGGAGTACTTTACGGAGTACTGACGAAGGTTGTTGTCGGGTTGATGTGTATTGCATGGTGGGATTCTGATTTCTCTAGAGGTTGTTATTTATACCTTGGTTAATTTTTTACTTTGACTGTGTCTGACTATCTTGTTTTCTCTGTTTGAGGGTATTGTGATGCTCAAACTTCTCCCGGGTTGTCCATAGCTGTGAAGACGATGTTTATTTACAAGGTATCTAGTGATCATAATAGTTAAATGACTACAGAACAGTGACGGAGAAAAGGAATACCCTCACAGCCCCGGACCACATATCAGGTGGTGTTGCCCCTTGCGGAAAAAGATCCAACCGGTGCCTGACGGTCGTGCACAACCATCGAAGATCGCTACTTCTAACGGCCGGTTCCTTGATTCGATCCTCCCGAGATCTATCTACTGTGTATCTACTGGTGGAGATAGATTCTGATCTTGCTTTTGGTAATTTTACCTACGGTATTTAACCGAGCACGTGGATTTGGGGTTGGGAGGGGTGGGAGCCGTTCAATGGGTGGGGATATTACCCGATTCTGAAGAGTTATGGTTATCCGCTTGGAAGAGTTGGCGAGGTACTGTGAATTGATCTAGGTAGCTTACTCTTAGAGGGATGGATGTGGTCAAGGACAATCCCTTAAGATGAATGTCATTATATACCATACTACACATACATATACAGACGTCAATATCCACGTCGTAACCAACTATATACATCCCCCACCCCGGCATAGCATGGTGTTCAGCTAGATGCGATCTAGCAGAACACAGCTAAACACCTGTGCATACGCAGTATGACGACACCGATGCATGTCTACTAGTACCCTGCTCGATGCTGCTGCAGCTGGGCAGATCCCGCCCACTGATAGGCCCGGCGCAGAGCCGAGAACCCCCTAGGGATATGCATGCACGCAAGCCCTAATTACAAGGCTAGTCCGGTCCCCTTTCGTGTCCATCGGTAGAGGGCTAACACAGCCTTCCGCCGGTGCCGGATTTCGCTGTGATTGACAGGCGCCCGCGCGCCTGCGCAACGGCACTGCGCATCACCTGCCGGAAGTTTCGCTGATACTCCGTGTTCAGCGTCACGACGCACGATTCCGTGGCGCGGATCATCACTTCGCACGCGTTCAGGATGCCTTCGCCCGCTTCCTTCTGCAGGCGTTCGACGATCAGTAGCAGCAGGAAGCTGCCTTGCAGTAATTGGATGCCGAAGAAGTACGGCATAAAGCTAATATCAGGATCAAACCGGAGGATCTGGTCGACTGAGTCGGCGGCGTCCAAGGCGTGGGAGATCGTCGAGGCAAATGCAGGGGAGGACGTCCAGAAATCCTTGTCTTCGATCAAAGAGACCGGGTCCCACTTGCCCACGAGGAGGATATGCAGAACGTGCACCAGGTACGACGCATAGGAGATCACCGTTTGGGTATGCCAGGAATAGGCTTGGGTGAGGGCGGGATCAACCCCATGGTCCGGCTTGGGCGGCGGATATGCATACAAAAGTGGGGCTTCGGGATCCGAGGCAGTGGCCGCAAAAGTCGTCAAGCTGGCTTTATACATCTCTAGTTGGCGCAAGACTTCGTTGACATGCACATCCCACGCATCCTTCCCATTCAGACGCACTCCGAGCATCGGATGGTTGCGAGACTGATTCAAGTCAATCAGTTCTCCGGTGATGGTCATCAGGGGCAGAAAAAAGCCGAAGATAGAGTGGTCGTGGCAGATGAAATTCGGAAACACGCGACGTTTATTCTTGTCGCCTGACAGTACGCACTGTGGCCCATCAGGTCGAGGACTGTTGCTATGGATATTCCCCGACTGCCAGGACCCTTCGTCCAAAGGTAGCAGTAGATCTTCGCTTTCCGCGTCCAGTAAGGCCAATGGCCGGTTGTAGCACAACGCCAGATGACGATCCATGATGTACAATAACCACCACGCCCGACGACGCTCCTCGCGGTGCTCCTCGGTGATCGTGTTTTGCGTGTCCTGGCGGTCACAGACACAGTTCAAGCTCGGTCGCGTCGGATTCGAGTAGTCAAAAAAGGGTCTGGGGTCCACCCCGTTCCAACCCGGTAACGCATAATCGAACGATGGGCTCGACCCTTCGGTCTGAGTATCGGCATTCGGCAGCACCTCGATCTCCTGGTTCAGCTTGAGCTCGCGAGCTAGGGTAAACGCCGCATGCCACCATCGCATGCTGGCCGCTTTTTGCTCGCTCGAGGAGATGATGGATGCGACGTGGATATAGGTAATCACATCATCCAGCGATCCCGCCGGTCCCACCAGGCCCCGATCATCGCCTCCCCCTTCAAACGGATGGTGTACCGTGGTCGGCGGCAATTCCTGGCCCACTGGCTCACTCAGCGATGCCCCCTGGTCTTTAAAGGATACGTGAATCAATGGTCTCAATAAACGGATCGTGAGGGCGCACAGGAACTGGCAAATATTCTTCCGCTGCTGCGGTGAAATCGACAAGGCAAAAGCCCGGTCATCCAGCGCCGCCACCCATAACATACTGGCCAACAGTGCCGGAGTGCTGGGGCGCGGCGCATCGCGACTGAGGAACGAGGCTTTGCGTAAGATATAAGAATGGATATGATGGCACACCGGATGCATCTGGGTTGAAAAAGCGCTGGTGAAATACAGCTCGAGCAGATCGAACACCAGCCTCCGGGGCAGGTTCGCATCCAGAAACGGCATCAACGGCTGCAGGACCGGATATTTCAAGGAGGCCGGCGGCACTCCCGACGTCTGGCTCACCCCCGTCACTTTCGCGCCTTGCGGCGTGGGACCGCTATTGTTGGACAAATCCACTCCACTCCATACATCAAACATCCGGGGAAACGGTCCCTCCCCCAACCCCCCGCCCAAGAAATCGTATGAGCCCGGAGACACATGGGCTGCGGCCAACCATTCTTCCGTCACATTGCCCCCTGGAGCCAGCTTCCGTGGGGGCAATGGCACCTCGGCTTGCGACCGACGCTCGTCGACACTGGGCGCGGATGCGGTCATCTCGTTCGTCCCCGGCGACCGGTGCGGGAAACTGGACGAGGGAGAGCCATTCGGGGCTGGCGTTGCCACTGCATCCGCCGTCGCCGGTGCGGGGATCCGTCCGTTCGAAAGCGTGGCGGATACCTTTTCAGTGCCGCCCTTGGTGTCGGTCTGCTGCGATCGCGCAATGCGACCTCGTTTCCGACGTTCCCGGGTGAATTCGCAGTGGATATCACTGCGGAGGCAACGCGAACAAGGAAAGGCCCGGTCGCATCGCACGCGCCGTGAGTGGCAGGCGTCACAGGCGATGCGGTTGCGTCTCCATTTCCGCTTGGCGGTGCTATTTTGCAGATCATCGGCTGTCTCTTGTGTATTGCCTTGCGGCGCATCCCCCGACTGGGCTGGGTCCATGTCAGGTAGACATTGGTGGTGGTCGGAGGGTTGCAAGAGGAGAGAAGGTTCTTCTGAGGGAGGAGTTAGCATGAGCCAAGACCTGGGGCAGTTGGAAAAAAAGTACAACGGCCGGACCTGGTTCCGGACAAGACGAGATCCAAAGGAAGAGGAAAAGATCAGGTGTATAAGTATCGCATGGGTGGGGAGACTCGAATGACCAGAAAAGAATAATCCGAAATGCAATATGATCATATATCGAAGTGACCCAAGAAAAGAAAAAAAAAATCATAAAATAAATAAAAATAAATCAAAGAAAAAAAAAAAAAAGAAGACGGTGACCCGCAAGAACAGGGGCCAAAAGGTCGCAGAGAAGCTGCGGATGGAGGAATCGCGGGGGAGAAATGAAGGGGACCGACTGGTCTCCGCACCGACTCAACTTACGGAGTACTTACTAGTACTAGTAATAAGTACGCGGTCCACTTTCAACCTCGGCGAATTTAAATTGATTGGTCCTTCATCCAAGACACTCTCGTCTTCGCGTTACGAATCTTTCACCACCGTCAACTCTTGCAAGGAAAAAGTCTATTCTTCTGAATGGACCAGCCTTAATAACCTCCCGTGGATGAACTATCGTCCTTTAGGCAATCGGTGAGCTGCAACTACTAGTAGTAGTTATACGACTCGGAGTATAATAAAGTAGGCAAGGGTTCGACTTTAGGTTGAACAAACCCTGCGACGTTACGTATCTAGTAGGAAGAACCCGGTCAGTAGTCTATGCTAGGATACAGGAGCACTTCGATCTCCCCTGAACTGACCAGATTGCTATTTATATTCATAAACTCTGAATGTCTCAGGTGAAAGTACCCCAGATTTCCACTATCCCGAAAGATCGAACGATCGGCGCATCTCGCTGTCGTCCGGTTCGCTTGCGGGAAAATGGAGAGAACAGACTCCCTGTGGTCTGTGCACGCCATTCAAGTACAACCTTAATCATCTCGTGGACTTGAGACATTTTCTCTTTGCGTCATAGGGGACGCTTTCGCAAAAGAATAGAAGTTCTCGAGGGCCCATCGTCAATAATAACTCAAGTCAGTTGGCAGAGTGCTTGCACGTCGGCTGGTCAGAAGCACACTTAAACGTATTCCTCACCGTATACATTTTCAGTCACAAGGATGATGAGAAACAGATTGCGGGATGCATTTCCCCAGAATGTCTAGACCTTGAAAGATCATACGACTGATGCCTCCTTCACGCGTGTCATGCTCCCTGAGGAAGGAATAGCATTACGCGTGTATGGGGTCAGAAATAGGTTGTGATCATCACAATCAGGCTCTAACGGTGGGTCTAGCGGTGGAAGGATATGTATAATGGTACACAAAAGTTTGTTTTTGGTTCAAGGCCACTCGGTTGTCCCAAGATGCACGGAAGATGGGCTGCTTCCACTCAGGTACTACTGGTAGTATCCAAGGGAATCAGGTGATTTGGTAAACTTCAAGCGTCAGCCGGTGTTGGCTTAGCATCTCTCATAATTGCAGCCACAAATAGTAAGCACTGAGCGATATTATGATTATACAATCGAAATCAATATGATCGTGCATCTTGTTTTGAAACTTCGACTCGTTATCCAACTTTTGTCAAGCAAAGTTGATTTACAATCTTTGCCTAGATGGACACCAAACAAAATACTATTTTATTTGCCAGGAGCGGAATTAAGATACCGCCTGCTGGATACCAGCCGGTCAGCCGAGGCGACACATTCAAGGTTGGCTGTTAATACTTAATTCGCCATAAGCTAGAGAGAGGATCCTCCAGTGTGGCTGGCACATGACACAGAATATGCCAGAAACTTACCATAGGGACGCTTCGCAATATGTCGTCCAGCTACTACTAAACTCATTTACTCACAAAGGCCCAAACAGAAATCATCAATGCCTTATATTTAAGCTGCTAGGTCTGTCAGTCGATCATGCCCTGATGGAATACCATAATACCTCAGAGTCCTTCACTATTGTCGAATGTCAAAGCAGCTTCCAGAAGCAGTGCTTCAACCATGACGCTGTGACGCACGGAGGTAAGTTAAGCCTCCATTCACAGTTGATATCTACCAATGTCGTACAGATAGAAGCTATAGGAACGCTAATTCGATCTGTAGTTACTTCTGTGATGCAATGAAAGGAGGATCTCTAGACGATTGGGAGTCCTGAGGTTAAACCATTAATCCGCAATGATGGACAACCTCTGGATCAGGCTTGCCCAAGGATCCGATAAAAGCAGTAGAATGGGTCGAATATGGAGAGGAAACGAGGGGCAATACACGGCTGACTCGTTGATATTGGTGAAAGCGTTTCAAAAAGACGAGCCATCGAGACTAGCTCAACCAGAAACTAGCTGGTGTCTGAGTTCATACTCGGGGAGCGCTTCGATTACGCCATCCTTTTGGCATGTTAGTTGCATTGTAGGTGGAATTGTCTATCTTTCACTCAACCTACCCTGATTCGAGATGCAGACCTATTCGTCTATATATAGAGCAGACCCGCTCATATACCTGGAGGATGAGGGCAGGTTTCTATGAACCACTAAGTCTAGGATCTGTTCTAGTAGCGAAAGCGGGCGAAATCTCGGTCGATCTAACTGAACCACGAAGGACAATAGCCGATCGTTGCTTTAAGACCCTGAAGCTATCACTCTAATATAGGGGAGCTTTAGGTGCCATTCTGCACAGGAAGATATCCCGAGGCTGCTCCGAAGTTGGTCGAACTGAAAGCGCCCTACTTGTCATTCGGAGATGTGTGGGGTAAGGACGGTCCAACATGAAACGGGTGAGTATTGCAACACCATGAATAAATGAGCAGTATATACTACTCTTCTCTCCTGATTCCTGAACGACAGCCACAGTTATCACGGAAGGCCCATGGAATGTAGAAGAAATATAAGGACGGATTCTATGGAGCCGTACGAGCTCGAATCGGTAGGGAAATGGGTTGAACTCGGAACGAGAACGCATTCAACTGCCGACATACATCCTGGTTCGGCGAGGCGATCAAATCAACCTCGATCGGGAAAACATCGGGAACCCCACATCAATGCACGGACTCCCCACACAACGTCATTTTCTGGGGAAGCAAGACGACCCTTCTTCGAAACTCGGTCTGATGATCCCCCGATTAACGTTCTTAGGATAGTGTTTGCATTCAATAGGAGGGAATTACTGGTATACCTGCACCTCGGCCAGCGTTCCCCCGACATTCAATCGGCTTTCCCGGACGACACGTTCGAGGAGATTATGCTGGTGACGAAGTATGGGCGGGGGTTGGATTTAAAAATTTGCCTAGGGCCGGTAGACACCATGGCCAAGGTTCGGATTCCGTTTTGCACACTTCAGACGCAATGCACCTTCCGTGGTCTGCGTGGCTCCTGAGCCCAGCTCTCCTGGCTGTAGCCTGCTATGGCGTGCCTTACAACGAATATATTCTTGCCCCCGCGTCACGACAACTCGTTCCCCTTGAAGTTCTCGACGTCAATGGCTCTGTCACAAACCCCTCCTCTCTGACGCAATCCAACAATGGAAATGCTACATTTGATGGACCAGCCTCTGTCACGTTCGATTTTGGCCGCAACATAGCCGGCATTGTGTCTCTGGACATTGGGTCCTCATCCACACGCAGTGCCTTCATTGGCGTGACTTTCACAGAGTCAAGCCTGTGGATCAGCAGTCAGGCCTGCGATGCCACCGCTGATTCAGGTCTCGACTCCCCACTGTGGTTCCCTGTTGGCCAAGGACCCGGTACATACACGGCAGAGAAGAAACACAATCGCGGCGCATTCCGGTACATGACCCTGGTCACCAACACAACTGCCGCGATATCTGTCCGCAATGTCCAGATTGACTACACAGCCGCCCCATCTCAAGATCTCCGCGCATACACGGGCTACTTCCACAGTAACGACGAGCTACTCAACCGCGTCTGGTACGCGGGTGCATACACTAACCAGATTTGTACGATTGACCCAAGTACAGGGGATGCATTGCCTTTCTTAGGGGTCATTAGCTCGGATAGTAACATCACTCTCCCTGAGACCACCCCTTGGTACAGCAACTACACCATCTCCAACGGCAGCAGCACACTTACAGACGGTGCGAAACGGGACCGTCTGATCTGGCCGGGCGACATGTCAATTGCACTGGAAAGTGTTTCCGTGAGCACGTTAGACCTGTACAGCGTGCGCACCGCCCTAGAGACTCTGCTCTCTCAACAAAAATCGGACGGCCGTCTACCCTACGCTAGCAAGCCGTTCAGTGATATTGTGAGCTTCACCTACCATCTCCACAGCCTCATTGGTGTATCATACTACTACCGACATTCGGGCGATCGGGCTTGGCTATCTCAGTATTGGGGCCAATACCAGAAAGGCCTGCAATGGGCACTGTCCAGCGTGGATGACACCGGACTTGCCAACATCACTGCTAGCTCTGACTGGCTGCGATTCGGAATGGGAGGCCACGTAAGCACTTTGTCCTCGTCAAGCGATATCCCAGAGAACTAACCCAAGCAGAACATCGAAGCAAACGCCATTCTCTATTTCGTCCTCAACGAAGCCCAAGAACTGTCCCAGGCCATCAGCAACCATACAAATGCCAACTGGACCAAAATAGCCAGCGGTATCAAATCCGCCGCCAACAGGAATCTCTGGGACGCCAGTACCGGGTTATACAAAGACAACGAAACAACCACACTCCACCCACAAGACGGCAACGCATGGGCCATCAAGGCCAACCTCACCCTCTCCGCCAACCAAAGCCGCACCGTCTCCTCCGCCCTGAGCTCTCGCTGGGGCAAGTACGGTGCACCAGCTCCCGAGGCCGCAGATGCCGTATCCCCTTTCATCGGCGGATTCGAGTTGCAGGCCCACTTCCTCGCAAACCAACCTCAGAAAGCGCTGGACTTTATCCGCCTTCAGTGGGGCTTTATGCTGGATGATCCCCGCATGACGAACTCGACTTTCATCGAGGGGTATTCCACCGATGGATCTCTCCACTATGCTCCGTATACCAATGACGCCCGTGTCTCGCATGCTCATGGCTGGTCAACTGGGCCCACGGCGGCGCTCAGTTTCTTCGCAGCTGGACTGCATCTTACAGGTCCTGCTGGGGCGACGTGGAGGTTCGCCCCGCAGCCGGCTGATTTGACGAGTGTGGATGCGGGATACACGACCGCTTTGGGGCTCTTTTCGACGACGTTTAGGAGATCGGAAAATGGAGATTATCAGGAGTTGACCTTCACTACTCCGCAAGGTACGACAGGTGATGTAGCCCTGGCGGGTGTCGAAGGAGCATTAGTTTCGACGGATGGCGAGCGTATTTCTCTAGTGAAGGGAACCGCGACAGGCATCCCTGGAGGCTCATGGGAGTTGGAGGTTGCAAGTCAATAGAGCGGGATCAACTTTATATACCGTTCCAAGACACAAAGTAGAAATATTACTCCATTCTATCGCCTCGTGAGAGTTACCTTGTAGTCTATACATCTAAAGTCTGTTTCAATATAAACACAGGCATCTATTGAGGCCAAGCAAGTGACGACCAAGAGGTACACCACTGCATAAATCAAAACTATGTAAAGTTAATCATATGATTTTATTTAGTGAATATCTATAGTAATGTATAACCCATATAAAAACGCCGAACCATGCCATCATCGCAAGACATGCAATCATTAAGCAGAAGCACAGTGGCCACCATCGACCCTCAAGTCCGTTCCAGTCATCCAGCCGCTGCCGTCCGCGAGCATGTAAACTGTGGGCGCCTTGAAGTCCTCGGGAACACCCAAGCGGCCAAGCAGGGCACCACGCATCCAGGTCTCCTCGACCTCGGGCTTCTCCTTGAGAAGCGCATCGGTCATAGCCGTGCGAATGTACTGGGTATTCAATTAGCATTGCGAGCCAGAATAACAGCCAAGGAGTAAAACTTACACCAGCGGACAACGTGTTCACGCGAATACCATACTGGCCCCATTCCTGAGCAACAGAGCGACACATCTGGTGCACGGCCGCCTTGGACGAGTTATAGGCAGTACATGTCAGACCGCGGTTGGCGATCTGTCCAGACATCGAAGCGATCATCACAATACTTCCGGGCGTGTTTTGCTCCTTGAAGATGCGTGCGCAGTGCTTGGCTGGGATGAAGGTTCCGATGACGCTGCGCAGAATCAATCAGTATCTAAGTACTTTTATAACTGGCGAAGTGTAGACCTACTTGACGTCCAGCATCTTCCTCCATCCGTCGATCGGGTAGTCCAGCGCAGGCACCATCTGCTGAATACCAGCACAGGTGATCGCGCCCCGCAAAGGCATGTTCCGCTTCAGTCCCTCGGTGGCGATCTTCTCAAGCACATCCTTGGTCAGCTCCTCGTTGGTGATGTCGCACTGCGTGTATGTGGCCTGCAGTCCACGCGCGGAAGCCAGCTTCTGCACGGTGGCCCATTCCTCGGCGCTGGGGGTGGGCAGGAGGTCCAGACACGCGACATCTCCGCCGGCTTCGAGGACGGCCGCTGCAAGGACGATTCCGAGTCCGCGACCGCCGCCGGTGATCACGACTGTGCGGTTGCCGAGAGAGAAAGGGCCGCCGGTCGCGGGAGTCTGGATAGAGTCCGGGGCGACGACGGTCGTGTTCTCGGGGACTGCGGAGGGGGCCATTTTGGTGTTATGAGTTTGTTTGGGAGATTATCGTGTCTGGGGGAGCAGGAGCGACTGATTGGAAAATTGGGGGACTCATATATATGTTTGTATTGCTGAGCTCTGTGGCGCTTATCCACGACTAAACTAGTAGGACGGCCGATTCAAGCATGGAGAGGTGCATGTTTCACCATATTGCTTGGGGATGCTTATCCACACATGTCCACATGAGTTCTTTGGTCGGCCAACCGAACATCGGGTACGCTGCTCATGGTGGACACGATACTACCCCGACCGATGGTTGTGTTTACCCATGGGGGGTTATCCCAGCAAGGGGCGCCTATTTGGTCCGGAAAGGGTAACCTGGGGGAAGTCCGGGGGGTGGAGTGTGGATCCGTTCTGCAGGCGCTAATGACTGCTCTTTTAGGAAATCGGGCCGTGGTACCGAAGTGGACTCCAGCCGACACCCCGGAAGTTGACCGGCTACCGGGATCAGGGAAACTACTGTTGCTAGGTACCCCGGTATCTCGACCCTCTTCGGTGGGAATTGGCCCCCATGGGAGATTCAGTGGTCTGAGCTCTATTAATGTATCGGGGGGCTTCTTTACTCAGATATCTTAAACAAGGGGGCCAATAGTTAAGATTGTAGACTGCAGACGCGCAACAATGATAGGGCTGAAGTGTACAAGTTAGGGACGCCTATACGAAAGTTTAAATGCTGCGCCATTTTCCATGTTACGCCTCCGAGAACCTTCCCCGGGGCCCCGCAATTCGCAGCCTGTTGACACGAAAACACACGGAAAAGTTCAAACTATGACGTCCGAATTTTTTCCGGGGTAGAACGATATATAAAAGTACAAGTAGTCCCAGGAACTTGGTTGTTTCTCCGCGGTAAACACATCTAAGTCGCGACAATAATTAGACCGGCGGCCATAATGACTTTTCTTGTTGGAAAGCCGCTGACTATGGCCATTACGGCCACTGCTGGCAGTGGCTTCCTTCTGTGAGACTATGTTTATGCCCTCGCATTACTATGTACTGACTGGACAGTTTCGGTTATGACCAAGGTGTCATGTCAGGTCTCTTGTCGGGAGATGCCTTCGTTCACACCTTTCCCGAGATTGACACCACCACTGGTGGCAATGGTAGCTCGACTTTGCAAGGAACTGTGTAAGTTTCACCAGCATGACCCTTTGGGCTAGAGCTAACAAAGTATCAGTGTCGCCATCTATGAGATTGTGAGTCACCCTCGCCTTCCTGTAGGCTAGGTCTGACTGTCATAGGGTTGTTTCCTGGGTGCCATTATGGCCCTTGTTTGGGGTGAGAAGGTTGGACGTCGCATGTGTATCCTGGCTGGCTGTGTCATCCTCTCAATCGGTGCTGCCCTACAGGCCACTGCTTACGGTATCCCCCATATGATCGTGGGTCGAATTGTGGCAGGTGTTGGAAACGGACTCAACACTAGTACTATCCGTACGTACTTTCCCTGTGGCATTTGTGTCTGGTGGACCAGCTAACGTTAAATAGCGGTTTGGCATTCCGAACTGAGTAAGCCTGAGAGCCGAGGAAAAGGGGTAAGTCTCCACATTCAGCGTAGGTCTTGTCTCTTTTACTGACGTGTTACAGCTTGCTATTGAATTGTGTATCAATATTTTCGGTGTTATGACTGCGTACTGGGTCGGTAAGTTCAGGGCTATGCTCCATTCCCCTTCTCTTTTCCTCGGCAACCTCTGACAAAACAGACTATGGTATGAGCTACGTCAAGAACGACGCACAATTTCGATTCCCCCTTGCCCTTCAGATTCTCTTCGCCATCCTCACTTTCATTGGCATCCTTGCCTTGCCCGAGTCACCTCGTTGGGTAAGTTGCCCCTTGTCTATCAATGATTTCTTAACTAACAACCCAGCTTATTGCCCACGGCCGAGAAAGCGATGCCCGTCGTATCATTTGGTCTCTCCAACCCAATGCCCACAGCATCGGTGAGGACGATGCAGTCGTTAACCAGGATGTCGCCGAAATCACACAAGCTATTAGAGAGGAACAATCCGCTACAGAAGAGAGCTCTTTCATGATGGTGTTCAAGAACGGTCCTCAGAAGTTTCTGTACCGGACACTGCTTGGTATGGGCGGTCAGATGATGCAACAGTTATCTGGTGTGAACCTGATCACATATGTGAGTAGCTGTCCACCGCTGGAGAACTCACGGTCTAATGCAAGTAGTACAATACCGTTATCTTCGAAAAGTCCGTCGGCATGACGCACAACTTGGCGCTGTTGTTGGCAGGTTTCAATGGTGTGGCGTACTTTGTGTCCACCTTGGTCCCTATCTGGACTATTGATCGGTACGTTGAGTACTATTCCCGTGTATGAAGGACTGAACTAATTTTACAGGCTCGGTCGACGGAAGCTGATGCTTTTCGCTGTGGTTGGACAAGGCGCGTGCATGGCTATTCTGGCCGGCACAGTGGCGGATGGTGGCCATGCCGCAGGTCTGGTAGCCACCGTGATGCTGTTCCTCTTCAACTTCTTCTTTGGAGTGGGATTGCTTGCCATTCCATGGCTGTGTATGTTTATCCCCCATGATCCGGCCCAGATTCAGCATACTAACCATCGGCAGTGCCTGCGGAATACTCCCCGTTGGCCACTCGTACCCGATCAGCAGCATTGGCGACGGCAACCAACTGTACGTTTATCCCAATTATCTGCCATGTGTCACGCTAATTAGTCCAGGGATCTTCACCTTCTTGGTAGTGGAAATCACTCCGGTCAGCATTGACAACGTTGGGTATCGCACGTATATCTACTTTGCCGGTATGTACTACGCACCCGTATACACTACTATTGCTAACCGTAGCAGTGTTCAACTTCTGCTTCATCCCCCTGATTTACTTCTTCTACCCTGAGACGCGCAACCTCACTCTGGAACAAATCGACCACTTGTTCACTGGCGAGAAAGTGAAGCTTCACTGGCACCCATCGATGGGAACTGCCGGCGATGCCGAGCGTCGTCTGGGAGAGAAGGACCCAGAACTTGCCGGTGTCCAACACGTTGAATAGATTATTTAGTTTTCTTTCCTGTTTCCGGGGTATCACAGGGCCTACGCTCGGTGGTGCTATGAGTTAGTGTACAATAATGGAATGTCTCCTTGTCATCATTTTTATGTGTATTCTTAATAAATACTACACCTACCAGACATAAGGCAAGACATGTATCAAGTAACTCTGTTGCAATGTCCGTAATGTAGAACCCTAACATCTCCAAAAAAACCCCAACCGCATCCAGGAACCCTAAAGTTTCAAGTCAATAGCCTAAGGTACTCACACATGACATGAACCACGGCTCTGCAACATCGCTAACCTGTGTCCCTGGTTCTACGCAACCTACTCCATCATACGATAACCGGATAAAGAAATAAGAATGAAAGTTGGGAGGCCCCCACAGGGATTCCAGAGGCCATCTCCGTGTTTTCCCCACATTTGATCAAACCGGGTGGCGGTTATCGGTGCCCGATCCGGTAATCTACCCGACACGCTGTCGACGACCCCAAACTTACTTTTTCAGGTAATTATAGACTTTCCATTCCTTTCCCCGTATCATGAGGGTTAGTGAGTCCTTCAATCACCTCAATCACCATGACCGACATGCCTCAGGACACTGACCCCTTGCGTCATGCTCCCCGGAAGCGTACGCGCACCGGCTGTATCAATTGCAGTAGACGCAGACGAAAATGTGGGACACTGCCATCCCCCGGAACTACTTCTCCAGAAGCTCACGATAGCCTTAGGTGACGAGTCCAAGCCAACATGCACCGGCTGCAGACGGCGCGGCGAGAAGTGCCAATGGCGCGTACTAGGTTCGTTCCGGGAGGCCAATATCAAGGTCCTCGAGCCTGGCCATCCGTCCATGAACCAATCGGTTGGTCGGAATAGTCGGCAGAGTAAATTCAAGGTGGGCTGCTGCTGTGATGAAATGCCGTCCCTATCTGACCGAGTAGATATTGAATGTCGACCCTCCTTCGGCCCGAAAAGAGCGTGCTCGTAAAGAGCAGCCGCTGCCCGAGAGGGCGCCATCCCCTCAACCTCAACAGCAGGAGGCTTCCGCGCCTTCGCCGCTACCTGTTACTTATCCGGATCAGGCTCCGGTTCAATTACCACAGCCCGACTTCAATCACTGCGAGGATCCAGGTCTTTCCCCGTCGCTGTCGAGTAATGCTTCCTTTTACCCGGCTGCGGAGGTCCGCAACCATGAACGCGATAGCCGCCGCAACGATGAGGCGACTAACGAACTCCCCAATCACATTCCCCATAACGCTTCACCTAACCACCCGTATATGCATTCCAGTCCTGAATTTGTTATTGATGAGCTAGCCGCGTTACGGAGTTTCTCCAATAATGCTGCATCCTTCCCTCAAACGGCCCAGGAACCCTACCAAAGCATTGCCTCGCCTCTCTTTGATCCCAGCGTCTTCTCCGATCCAGTCAACTTCACTAATGATGTCTTTCTGCCTGGATCCGCCTACGAGGCGCTGCACACTACGCTGCGGAACCGCCAGCTCTGGACTGCCCGACCAGACATCCCCAGTCGGTGTAGCTCGCCAGCGTCAGTGCCAGACTCCGGGGCAGTGACTCCCAATGCGTTGCATCCGAGTCAAGTAAACCACTACTCGAGACCAAGACGCCCGTTTGAACTCTCCCCAGCTCGGGAAAATGTGCTGTGGCAGAACTATCTCAATGAGATTTGTCTCTGGGTGTGTAGTTGTCCCACGTCGGTGCATTGAACCTCGTACTGACCGAGCAGCTTGACATGTTCGACAACCATCGTCACTTTGCGTCAACCTACCCTCAGATGGCCAAGTCGGCGCCACACCTCCGCTATTCTATCTTGGCCTTATCCGCGCGCCAGATTGAGCGGAAACAGAACCAGAAGTCCCAGTCCGAAAGTCTTTCCTTGTACCAGGAGGCAATCCATCTCCTCCTCCCGGAGCTAGAGAGCAAGACAACGCCGGTGATAGCGTCATGCGTGATTCTATGTGTCTTGGAAATGCTAAGCTGTACGCTTCTCCACCCTTCTCAATCCGACACTCCTAACATCCAACAGGCAATCCGAAAGAATGGCGCCGACATCTGGACGGCTGCGCATACCTCATCCAAGCAGCCGAGATCAACGGATTTTCCGGGAAAGAGGAGCAAGCCCTCTTCTGGTGCTTCGCACGAATGGGTAACTATACCCCCGACTCTCACGCAGCAGCAGCATTGTTTCTAATAGAGCAGACGTCTGCGGCGGCCTCATCTCCGAAGAAGAAACCATCATCCCCATCCACCACTGGATCCCCAAGGACATGAGCCCGGCCGAAGCCTCCCAGCACTTCCTCGCCTCCAACATATCCGCCTTCGACACCTACGCAAACTACACCGTCTACCTCTGTGCCCAGACCCTCGGCGTCCTCTTCAACCCCTCCTCCCAACTTCCTCCGTCCTGTGTCTCGTGTCGATACCTCGGCAGTCCCGATGATCGAGACACCTACGTGCACCGCTGGACGCGTCTTTTCGACAGCGTCGAAGAGTGGTACGATAACCGGCCGAACCAGATGAAGTCGATCTTCGTCATACCGGCTTCAGCGGGGCCGAGGCCGTTTCCGACGGTTTTGTATGGGAACGGCGCTGCTAGTATGTTTTCCCTGAGTTTGCTCTCTCGCATATACTGACGCGGCTAGTCTCTGGCAATCAATTGTATCACACGTGTGCGTTGCTGCTGCTTCAGCGGAAGCCAAAAACTCTTTCTCTCTCCCGGCGGCCGGTATGTTTCCCGCTCTCTGAAGACTTGGTTGAAAGTGCACGCTAATACAACTCTAGAAATCCGTCCTCTGGCACGCCAGACAGATCTGCGCCATCTCCGCTTCGAATACCCACCAGTAAGTTCATTGCCCCTCCGTCCAGTCGAAAAAGGTACTAAGTAGTATACCAGCGGCTGCTGGACAAACGCCCTGCAACCACTCTGGCTAGCCGGCAAAGCCATGTCACATCACTCCGAGCACACCGCCATCATTGAAACATTGACGCGCATCGAGCGAGAGACCGGCTGGGCGACCGCGTGGAGAGTCGAGGATCTGAAGGACTTCTGGGGCGAGGACGACGACATGGACGAGATGGAGCCGATGAGGATCGACGTGGAGGGGGACGTGAGTCTACAGACTCCGCGGAGTATCCGGAGCCATTAGAACAGAACTATGACTAGACACGCTTGACGATGTTGATGACTAGAGATTCATGACATGGTTGTCTGTACTATACTAGAATATCAATCATAACCCTAACAAATCCATGCCCAAAACAGACATCACGAAGCCTCTCTAAATTCATACGCGTTCTGCCCAAATGCCGCCTTCGCACCCGCTAGGATAGCGTGCGGATTAATCCTCGACGGAAACAACTCCTGCATCCTGCGATACAGCTCCTCAGGGCTACTCGTCGTGGTAACCGCGTCCTCAAACGCAAGGATATACCGTCTCGTACTCTGGATATTAAACACGCCATCCACCGTGCCAGCCCTCTTATGCCCCGCCACCACGGTATGAGGCTCCAACGCCTCAATTATATCCAACGCCCTCAACCATTCCCGGCGTTTGCTCGTCGTATCCGCCTCGCCGAAGAACTGGTGCACATCGCCATATACAACGTCACCCGCCACGACGAGACGCAGATCCGGAACCCACAGGGCCGTCGAGTCATGCGTATCCGTGTGTCCCAGGTCAATGATCTGGAACACATGATCCTCCATCGTGAAGGTAGTAGACGGCCACGGTTCGGCAGTCCTCTGCGGCTGGTAGATCTGGCCCGGGAAGAACCGCGTCCAGATATTGGCGAACTTGGCCGGCTCAAGCTGGCCCTGTGAATGCGCTACTGTGGCTGGCGTGGCGATTGCCCGCGCGGTTGGCCATCGTTTCAGGAGCACTGGGATCCCGAACCAGTGGTCGCCGTGTCCGTGCGTGATGTATATATACTTGAGTGTTTTGCCCGGTGCGGTGGCTTCGATCCATTGGATTAGTTCTTCCGTTTGGGTGACGGAGATCGGGGTGTCGACTAGCACGGCCTCGTTGGTGCCCTGGATGAGGGTGCAGGAGATCGGGGAGAAGGCGCTTGTTTGTCCGTCTCGCTGAATGGCGATGGGGAGGCGCGAGGAGACCCATACGTCGGCTTGGAGGGGGGAACTCATGGTATTGTAAATAGATGTCGGGTGGGACTAGCGTGTGTGTGTGTACCCTGTTATTCTGGGTGGTTATCTCCTGGTGGCCTCAGCCGTGGTTATATAAACTGCCTACAGACGGGGCAGTGAGGCCAAACGTCATGGCTGATAGTAGCCCTCGGTAGACTTCTTCCGACTTTATTGGATTTGTCAAATTGAGCAGACGCTCATCTCAGATCGGCAAGGTAGGTGGTTTTCACCTCGGCGATTGTGCTGTGTCCTGGCAATGGATTGGATACAGGCGGGAGTATCAGTAATCCCGGAAATGGAACTACCGATGCTGCCCTACAAGTGAAACTAACTATATATTGGACCATGACTTATACAGAACATTGAACCCGAGTCTTATCCCCCAAGAGAATCACACTATTTCATGCGCAGCCCTCCAAATAACCAAACCCCCATTCAACCAAGCCAACCCAACGATGCCCCGCTGGACCTTCTACCTCTCGCCCAACACCCTTACGCAGGATGAAAAAGGAACCATCGCCAGAAAAGTAACAGACCTGTATATCAGCTTCGGCATCCCCGCCTTCTGGGTGAACGTCTTCTTCCACGAGACCGGCGAGGGCAATTTCTACAGCGGAGGCGAATACCCCCCTAACGCCGTGTTCTTCCACATGGATCACGCGGCCAGCAAGATCGATTCTGAGAATCTCCGGGGCGAGTTCATTCGGAAGGTCAATGATATTGTGGGGCCTATTCTGGACCCCAAGGGCATTAAATGGGAGTATAATCTCTACGAGCATCCGAGGGATAACTGGAGGATTAATGGCATGATTCCGCCCATGGAGTATCCGGAGGTTTTGAGGGAGTGGAGGGAGAAGAATGCGCCGGTGGTTTATGAGGGGGCGTATAAGTTATAGGTGATTTCATTCTTTTTTCTTCTTTTTTTTTCTTTCTTTCTTTGGGGGATTTGTTTGATGGGATGCGAAAGGGGTATTGTTCTGTATGGGTGGGAAGTTGAGGCATGAAGTACGACATGTTTGTAACTAGAGACACAAGGGTAGTTTGAGAATGTCTATGGCAATTGATAAGGACTGAGGACCTCCACTAAGTCTAAGTCGGAATGGTCAATGGGTTGAAGTATATAAGTGAAATGCAAACAGCGGGCACAGTATGAGATGACCTCGGCTATATGATCTTGAAATGGTTTTGCCAAGTCACTCTGTGATAGTTTCACTGCTAGGAGTTTACAAACATATTTTCTCCGCTCATAGAACATCTACCAGGTGTAGTTTTCGTCTGTGGGTTTGATGAACCGCTTGATCGCATCTCTCCTCTGAACGTCTACCACTACTTGTATAGCTGATATATATACATTCTGCAATATAAATCGGTATCATGTAAGCTACCGATAAGATAGAAATTCCCAAAATAGAAAGGAAGAGAAAAAGAATAGTCCCGAGAAGATGTCTGAAACCGAGCTCAGCTCCAGATTCAATTCCTGGATACTCTCAACCAGAAACATTGCTACTTCAGCTCAACTCCCTAGATCTGCCAACCTGCCTAGGCAGCTCTATACTGTATTGTATAACAAACTAAATTTTGACCAGATTATCTAATCTTTAGTCTACGTTGAAGCTTAAAAGACCCCTAAATTAGGAAAATCAGACCTCGTTTCATTATACATAACAATACAGCTATTCGGATTTTCCACAGGGTCACCAGGTAGAGCCGAGGTTGTAATTCTGATAAGTACATATTTGCTGTACCGGGTTCGATTGAATCTGCAACGATCCGAAACTGGGGCGGATCCGATCTCGGCTCCGACCCGCACTGCGGGTTAGGTGCAGATTTTGAAACCCCCAGACTTCAGCCTTAATCGCTCGACGTGTACCTGGACTATGAGCTCAACAGTATAGCCTCTAGAGAAAGAAGAGCTACTTGTGTTCAAGCATCTGGAGTTAGAAGACAATTCAACATATTGCTCAGGTTTGCGTACGGCTCTTGTTATCCGTAAGGTGACTTCTAGGGAGTATCCTGATATGAAGAATATCGAGAGTTCTGATGTGTTCTATAACTCATGGTCAAGGGCCATGCATCAGAAACAATGATTGTCGCTTAGACCCGTTTCTCGCGTAGAGAACCAAGGCGCTGGCAAGGGAGGGAAAGGAGGCGCCCTTGCGGGCGAGCACACAACTCCACAATTGGTGTCTGAGCGATATCCTCCGTAGGGCGAATATCTACATTTCCTCGACTTATTTTTAAGCACATCTGGACCAAGAGACTACTGCCTATGCGGTACTAGGGCAAAACGCGACAAGATTCGAGGATACCTGTCAGGGGCGGCAATCAAGGGATAAACTCGTTCCACTTTTTTCTGCAACCCCTGAGTCATGTCCTGTGCGAAGGTCGATTGCGTTGCCCTTCATTCTTTTACCTTTTCGTCTATGGCATTCCTTGACTGACCATGGATGAGACGAGACATTCCGTTTCGACGCGACTCCTTGGCGTGACGTGCAACTCATTCCCATCGTTGCCATGGAAGGTGTAGGAAGTATCCTCGGCTACACCGTCTGGTTGATGTTTGAGATTTGTAATTTTATTGATATACTGGTCGCGATGAGGTAATGGATGTCGTATTCGTTTTTCGACGTGGAGTTTGGGGCACTAAAGAAGAATAGGAGAAGTGGATGAGGGAATTAGACTATTGGCAACGTTCTGCCAAGACGCGTAGTAGCGAGCTTAAGTAATGGCGCAATTGCAGAGACTTTTCTCGCCTCTTGCTCTGGAGCATGGTTCAATGCGTCAAAATTAGCGCTTCAATGCCATGGCGAGAATGGCGGTTGCCTAAACGATGGTTCATTCTGGTCGGTCAACCTGCGTTGTGATGGAGAGGATCGGTGTTGATGGGAGAAATCTGGCCGCCTGTGGACCGATTGGGGGGAAATCAATCGGAACATCCGTCCTTGTTGTTGAGATTAGGGGTAGGCTAGGTTAATAAAGAGATCGGAGAACCAATAAAGATGTGAAACAGACAATAAACTTAAAGAAAAATATATATATATATCAAGATGGCCAGCAATCAGCCTTTCGAAGATAAACGAAATGTTCCAGTGTGCGAGACAGATGATCACATCGTATGGTTGTAGTGATATAAATTAACGAATGTAATGTAATAGAGATATATAATGATCAACCGGATCTCTATTCCTAACATTGTCGTACCGAGTACTACTAATAATTAGTGGGGATCTGCCCTACGGAGAAATGAATCCACTCGGGACCATTGGCTGTACTTTTGCAGAGGAGTATTTGATAGTATAGAAATAACAAAATCCTTGTTTTCCCTCCATCGTTCTCAGCGACTCACAACCTGAGATGACCCATGGTTGAGATACAGACCCATCCAGACCCCACAAATGTGGCGCATGCTGTCAAGCAACGAGAACACACGCCACACCGCCCTAACCCCGATCACGACTAGCGTACTACGTATATTGCCTGGGCAATCTCAGTCGCCCCCCTGATTGGCCCCGAGGGGGAGATGAGGAATGGATTTCCCCTGGAAATAGTAACGAAAATGCATGACCTGAAACCACTGGACCACGCTGTCAGGTGGATAATAACTTCAACAAACCCCCCCCATCACCATCAGATGAATTAATCTGGGAGGAATCCTGACGTTGACTCCTTTTCGTGAATCCATCATTTCATCCAAAGAAGAAACCCAATACTAGTATACCCCCCCCAAAGAGGAAGTCGTTATCGACCCTTCCCAAGATGGATTGAGGGCTGAAACGGCGGAAGTTTATTGTTTCACTCTTTATTACTGCACTGTGTCGCTCCTTATTTTCGTTTCGTCCCTTCTGGGAAGGATTTGCAGGGTGAACCTCCTACGACTGCCCCGGCCAACCTTCTTGTATACAGACCTGTCCCTACCCCTCTGTGTTCGCAAACATTCGTGAAGATGGCGCCGTCCGCACTCGCTGCCCTCGGGCGTGTCACATCCCCCAAAAGCTTCCACGACGGCCCAGAAGCCGAAGCTCTAGTGTCGCCTCTCAGCCCCGCGGTTCCCGATTACGATCCTACGATCAATGCAAAGCCCTACTCACCTTTTTATCGCCATGCGACGCAAAACTTCACCGCACAGACCCCGAATTCCACGCTGAAAGTACCCAACGCCGATGATCTGGAAACCGGCGCCAGTGCATATCGACCATCCGGGGAGTCAGACAATCGCCGCAGTTCGAAGCTCTGGACGGAGAAGAAGAGACATTGTGACTGGCTCAGGGCATTGCCGAAGAAGCAAAGAATAGCGGTGAAGGCGGTCATTGCTATTGTAATATTAGGGACGATGGTGGCTATCGCCCTGGGCATTACGGCGGCCGTTGGGGGAGGAGTGTGGAAGTCGAACCACCAACAGGGGGCTATTGGATCCTGAGTGCGTATGTTCTTTGGCGTTGAGAGACATGGCCAGGTCTGACTCGGTTTCTAGTGCTTCCGACGGGGGGTTTCTTTTCTTTTCTTTTCTTTTCTTTTTTTTGGACAACTGCTTACGGATTCCATACTCTTCACTTCTCCCAACGCACGCTGGGATAGCTGTTCTGCTAAAGACTTCCGTTCCGGTACAGTGGACCGGACGAACAAGGGGCGACAACCAGAGGAAAAGGTATGGCAGAATACCCCGAACAGGCGTGCGACGGGGATTACCGTGTAACTATATGTCGCTCGACCGGCCCAGACAATCGTCCAGACGCGTGGACTTGGGCCGGGTTCGTGACTTTTCCTTCCTGTGAGAGAGAATTCGTCGATAACAGCCAAGAAATAAGATCATTCATATTCTTAACTCGGAACAAAAACTAGAGTGGGCCTGGTGGCCTGGCTCGGCTACCATCCGTAGATTTGTGCCTGATCGCCTAGATTGGGTGCCTGGCGGCGGAGGAAAGTCGGCCCGTGGCACGTGACCCACAGGTGCTACAAAAAGGCCGATCACGAACATTCCTTTGGGATTTTTTTTCTTCTTTTTCTTCATTACATCGAAAAGCTTTAACAGAACCTGCCACGACCGTCGTCCAGTCTTTATCCCACGGCGACGTGTTGCCTTCGGTCTACGGACTGATTGGTTCTGGAGAACAAAAACTCCTCGATAGGAAGTTTGCCTTTCGTTGGGTCCTCTTCAGTGAGGGCGATGAGGGGTGAATGTCGATGACGGGATACATACCGACTTGGAAAATATCTGTGATATCCACACAAGTCTACTTAGCATGCAATTGAATGTGAACAAGTTACTTCAGATCTTTCTGGCACACAACTTGTAGAAGGAAGCGTAGTCCGTAGAAAACAATTGTTTTTAAACCACGTGCGGAATGTTGATGTCAGGTGCTTCCTGTCACGAAAAAAAAAGAAAAAAGAAAAAAGTGACTTTCAAGGTTTCTGCAGGAGCCATTGTCCACGTCCTCGATTGCGTCAAAAGGGCCCAGATTTCCGCAAGGTCAATGCATTGCGATCCTCTCCTTTTTACAGGACCAACGCGACGCGAATCTTGTTCGACAAGGACTGGAACAACAGGGGCATGGGCCAGACGACGGTCGAGGCAGGGGTCTCCTCCAAAAAAGGTGCGCGGAGCATACCGGTCCCTTCAAAGCCACGAAGTGAGGAATGCTCAACCAGGCAGTCCGATCAACCCTGGACGTAACAGGATGTGAAAAACAAGGCTCAGGCCCAGCGAGGCCCATTCCTTTGGGGCATTCTCAGCTGAAAAACAATCACTCGGTGGTGTTTGTTTGTGGCGCTCAAGGGGAGGCCGACATACCAAGCGACAGCGGGTTAATGGTATTGGGATGATAAAAAGGTCAACCACGTCCAGTCCTCTGATGGAGGAGGAATCGAGAAGTCGCAAGGCCTAATCAGAAGTCTTTCTTTCAGCTACTTTCCTTAATTAGTATTCATTTGAGGCTTGTGCCTGCACTTTGGCTATCAGCCCGTTGTCACTCTTTTAGATTCAGTGGACTCCGAAAGGAATAATAAAACGCAAGCAAGATGAAGGGACTTCAGAATGGTATTCCCATCGCGATGCTGGCTGCGATGGCCAGCGCCCAAGGGCTCGGTGGACGCCCTAAAGTTGATACAGGCAACGGTGTGGGAGTAGGCTTCAGTAACCAATTCTCCCACGAGGTGAACAACTTCAACAAGGACGACCACTCCGCCGACGTACACACGGAGACCAATATTGTCAAGGCCCCGCCGCACCATGACGGTGGTCCACATGGTGGCCACGATGGTCACGGACACGGGGAGGGAGCACACGGACACCAAAAGCGTAGCGGCAGGGGTGCTATCGACACTGGTAACTCTGCGAGCTTCGACTTTAAGAATAAGTTTGACTCCAAAGTGAACAACGCCAACATCGATGACCATTCGCTCGATGTTGATGAGAACACCAATATTGTGACACCTCCACCTCATCCTCATGGACACGGCGGACACGGACCCGAGCATAAACGCCGGGGCGAGGATGAGCCACACGGAGGTCGAAAGATCGACACTGGTAACGACATAGACTTCACTTTCACGAACGAATTCCACCATGAGGTGAACAACTACAACGAGGACAACCACGGAGTTGATGTGAGCAAGAACACCAATATTCAAGTCGCACCCCCTCACGGCGGTCCTCACGGGTCCCATGATGACCACGATGGGCAAGAGGGCCACCACAAGCGTGCGTATCGACCCGATGCCGGCGCGGCTGATGAGCCTGGTAAGGTAGATACTGGGAACACGGCCAACACGGAAGTCTCGAACTCGGTTGACTCGAAGAGCAATTCCGCCAATATCGATGACCACTCTGTTAAGGTGCACTCTGACGTCAACGAAGTCGTTGGTGCACCCCCACATGCTGAGCACCATCAGGATGGGCATGAAGAGCCTGCCGAACATCATCAGGAGGATCCTGCGAAGCCCGTTGAACATCACCAGCAAGAACCTGCGAAGCCGGAGGAACACCCTCAGGAGGAGCATAAGGAGCCTGTTCCTACGTGTACCACCTTGACTCGTGAAGTGGTGCACACCGTTGTCCGCACTCTGCAGGGCAACTCTGAGCCCACACACGCTCCCCAGCATCAGGCGGAGGCTCCAACTCCTCAACCCGAGGGACCCAAGAAGCACGAAGAATCCGGACATGCCGACCCCAGCCATGAAGCGCAGAACCCAAAGCCGACAGGCGCTGATGGCTCTCACCAGCAAGAATCTGGAAATGATGAACACAGTCCCAAAGAGAGCCCCAAGCCGACTGGCACTGACGGCTCTCACCAGCAAGAATCCGGACATGACCACGACCACGACCACGCGGTAGAGACTCCCAAGCCCACTAGTACTGATGGCTCTCACCAGGAAGGGTCCGGTAATGATGAA